TGTGTAACTACTGATAACAACATGGCTGTCACTGATACCCCATATATAAGCCAGCTGAGCACGCGGGCCAGACTTCAGAAGCTTTGCGAATGAGTGTCTAGGACGGCTCGAATTATCGAGCTATTGTTTGTGTTTCGGGGCTCAGCCGACCCTAGCCGTTTCTACTTCTTGTGTCCGAGTGTTTTTGAAAGTGGAGTCGAAAGGTAGGGTGAGTTTTCCCAAAACTTTTGTGATGTGTTGTACAGTGAGAGGTTAGATTGTTAGTAGTTGTGTTAGTAACTTAGGAGGCAATGGATTCTGTTGGTTTTGTTGTTTCCAATGTTAGGTTTGATTGCAGAAAAATTCTAATTTCTTTGTACTTTTCTAATTGAAGCTAAATTTGTTTATAATTACTATATTAAAATTGGAAATCTGTAAGCAAAATCAATGGTGCTAGAATGCTAACAAGGAAGACGAATTAAAGAATTGCATATTTTGTTATTAAACATATCAAAACTATTTTGATATATACATAACATTCTTTATTCTTAATGTGTAAAATACCGTCACAGATCTTAATGAACCGAACATTCAATACACGTTTATTATTCCTTTTTTTCATTGATTAGCTTACTAATTGTAAGATTAGTGAAAACTGTTAGCTAGACTTTACTGTATGTTCTTGTTTCGTAAAAATGTAGCAACAAATTAAACTTCCTTTTTGTGATAGGTACCTATCTCACCTATAAAACCAACCTATTAAACTTATTTTTCATCTCAAAGTTGCATTATTGTGCAATAACCTTCCATTTGAAATAAATGTAGCGAATACACAAATTTGTACACATATTACGTTTGAATAGTAATACTCATTTTCTTTTCCCTTACTAGTAAATATTCATTATTTGTTTGTAAAGATTACAAAACAGATTTTTCCAACGCCATTGACATATTGACAAAACACAAACAAGGAAACAATGAAAAAGTGGTCATAACGTGTCACGAAGTCCATTCACTTCCATTATCATCTTCGAGATGATTCATTGTTGTTGTATTGCAACTAAATGCGAGGACAGTAAAAATTACTGTTAGAATATATACACTTAAAATCATAACTTTAATTACTTACTAATTCCATAAGTGATGTAGTGAGAGAAATAGCAAGCCTATTAATGAAAAGACATTGTTATTTATTACATATTTTAAATAATCCTAAATAATTTATATTTATGGAGTAGTGTTTAACTATAGAAGATTAATTTCCCACTGTAGGGTTGATATCAATCAATTTATCTTGATTGATTGCTTAGTAATTCAGTCTTGTCAAATAGTCTTTGGTAATCATTCCACACTTGTTTATCACAGGTTGATTATCTGTGTTTGTTGAGTCTAAAATGACGGGGATCATTCAAAGCCCCACTAGGCCATGCTGCAGAATCCATGACGTCACACTAGTGGATAGATTCATTGTTAAATTCATTGTAATTGCCATTCCCATATGTTTTAGGTAAATAAGCAAGCTGGCTGTTTGTAAGATTTTAATGGTAAGATTTTAGTACAACTATCCACCACTGTGACGTAGTGTTGGGCTGCCCGCGCTGCAGCATGGCCGGTTTTTCTAGTGGGGCCTTGGATCCTTGCAGCATTTGATGATTTTATTGTTTTATCTGTTGATTAAATTATGCTAGTACTGTATACAGTACAACACACGCTGTAAACAAACAAACCATTCATACAATCAATTCATATTTATTTTAAACTAAATATCAATAGCTTATCATATTAGACCGTTTAAAAAATTGTATTCAAAATTTGAATGTGTAAGCATTAAACTAACAATTTTCCGCATATTCTCTGCAGGGTTGATTTAGAGACAACTTACGTTACCCCCTTAGTGTTTTGAGTATTTCAGTAAAAATCATGTTATTTAGTAAAACTAGTGCTCTTGTTGCTCAAATTCGAGCAATTTGCAAGGTATTACAATTTCAAAACGAGTAACAGTCATAATTTTAGATGATTTAAAAGAGTCAACTTTAGGATAATGAAATGAATCACTCCACTCTAGTTATCAAAACTGAAATCAAACTCACTCTAAAAACGAAGGCTCTTGTGTGTATCATGTGTTTACTATTAACAGCTGTAATTAATACAAATTTTTCGTCTGATTAAGTAAACAAAATCTTTTCTTCATAAGAAATACATTGGAATTTTGATTGACTGTGGGACGAAGCCCGAGGACTTTTATTACAGGAATTGGTAAAAGGTCTACACAAAAAATACTTTATTTTCACACATTGTTTGTAAATATCCGTCCATTATTAACGGAGGAGTAGTGTTTCGTAGAAATCGCCTTCGCGTATTATATATATAAGGATGTTTGTGTCAGGTTTAAAATAGAAATGAAAGTCATTTAGGATGTACTGAGCTTATATTTTTCTGATATCATAGTACAAACACTTTAAATGAACAATTTTAACATTTTTCGACGTTGACTCACTGAAATAGCGTATTTTCCAATTCAAGAGAAGCAGAAAATTTGATATATCAGAAAATAACTAATAGAGTTAAAAACATTTTCTCATTAAGTTTTTATTATTTTTTTATGTTACAAAAAACTGTCATTATTTTCTAATCAATCTGGTCACTATGTCGCTCAAATTTTTGTTTAGTTGAAAGATAATTCTTTTTAAAATCAAGACGGTTATGAGGCTCAAATTTAAACATTCAAGGGTTTTGTCAAAAATAAAAATAAGTTTGGACAATTTAAACACAACATTTTTTTCTCTTAGTAAAAATGTCCACATCTACCTTAACAATTTATGAACTACAAGCATGAACATCATTAGCATGTTGGCAAGCCTTTACCAAACCTTATTGAAATTGTTTCAATGATGATGGTATTTTTGCTAATAATATATATAGCTGTGATAAGTAAATAACACAGAAATTGATGTTCAACCACCTTACCTGCCATAATCAATTAGTCAGATAATTTTATCCGTTGATAACAGGTTTCAAGATAATAACTAGGTTCTTCAAGGTATTTAGTTGCGAATTGTTTGTGCAGCAGAAACATAATTAACAGTTAGGTTTGTATAATTATAATTTTGATATGTTTGTAATATTTGTAAATGTCGATTCAACCTGTTTCAGACATCTATCTGGTTCTAACTCTCTAGAAAATACAATTTTATTTAATAAATTTGCTCGATTGTGCAATCGTTTCATTATGTTCAGAATCGGAAGATGAAATATGAGTCTCATGAAATTTGATCAAAGCTGGGTTTTCTATAGCTTATTAGAAATGATCTAAGTATCTCCCTACTAAAAGTCTCTCATGTGTTTGTTTGGTTGTCAAAACATAAATTTGTTTATCAATAGTATGCTTTTAATGGTCATGGTTAGGTAAGAGGTTTTAGGTTGCCCATTTATTATCATCTTCTTGCAAGTGACCTTGAATGTCCTAGGGCTGAAGCGCGAATTCGTTGAAGCCTTCTTACTAACCAAGCATGCTACCTCCTTGAGTTAGCAATGTTTGTCTAATTTGGTCATGTTAGAAAACGATTTACACTTGGCCATTTATTTGTTACTTAAAATATTCATTAGAAAAGTTAGCGCTTCTTTCTTCATCATTTTATTTCATTTTTTTTAATATTCTGATTGGGAAACAAGTACATAAAAAAACTTTTTCTTTTGTTTAGAGACTTAATGTTTAATGTTGTAATGTGTTGATATAGGCTAGTTAATCTTTGTTGCAACCAAACCAAATCTGCAAGGTTTGAATAATTCGAGTGAAATCCTTTTATTAAGGATTTATTTGTTGAAGTTTGTTATATTGAGGTTTTTGAGCTATGATTTTGACCTCTAGGGGACTAAATAAATCTCTCTAAGTTACTTCATTGTACAATGACTTTATTGTTATTCAATTTAGGTCGTTTTCTTAAAATCCCTTTACAAAATGTATGGAGTAGGCCTATACAGAAAACTGCAAATTAACATTATTTGCACCATGGAACTTACTGTTACCTTTACCTTGGTTGCATCAAGGCTTGAATGTTTGTTCACTAATATATTAGACACAAATGTGGTTTTATTTTTAAGAAAACAAGACAACCTTGAACTACGATAAATATTTAAAGAAATTTGTTTTTAAACGCGTCATCCTCATTGATGATGTGGTTGTTTGCTCGTTTCGGTTTGGTATTTTTTCTATTACGATTCTCAGCGCCTTTCCGTGTATCATGCAGATGTTCTTTTACCTCTTTCCGCCGTCTTTTCACAGCAAGCCTCTCCTCATCTGAACTGCTATCTGAATTGTACAAAGGATAATTACTACAATCGTCTCTTTCTTTTGTTCTTTCGTCAACATTTGGTCGTTTAAGATGATTTTTCGGTCTTCTTCGATAACCTTTATTGGGTTCTCTGTTTTTGTTGTAATTTTGCTTTGTTTCGTTTCCAGAGTTAGACTTATGTTTGTCGGTATTGTATGTTTTCTTTGTCCTTCTCTTGGTATATTTAGTTCTCACTGTTGTCCTTTTAGCGACAAAGTGTTTTGATTTTTCCTGTTTTCTTTTTTTAACTGTATCTGTTTTTTTGTTAGTTGACATATTTACTTTTTGAATTTTCTGTACAGATCTAATTTTCTTCCAAAAAATTACCTAATTATTTTGTTGTATTGTTTGCTTTTAACAGTTGCTATAGTGACAACATAATATTAAAAACTATTTATGATTTTCTTCCTGTCGTTACCAATATCAGTTGATGCCTTCACAGAATTTGACTATAAGTTAAAAATCAATCGACTTTTATTTGTAAAATACTTATGACTGAATCATTTAAACAATCACTACATTTTTGTGCCAAACCATTATTGGCACTACAGTACTTTATTGCAAGTTGCACAACCCTGACCAAATAGACTTGGGAGCTTCTAAACTAAGAACTAAATTTACAAAACATTTTTACTTGGGTGATTGTGCTAAACTTACAGCTCTTTATAATAATTTTGTTTATTGTTGCAGGGTTCGGGTCGGCTGGTGCGCAGCCCTCTAAACTTTGTCGACTGGCGTGAGGCGCTCAACGGCGACCCCCCGTGGCAGTGCTGACAACCGCAAATTAATTATTAGACTTTAGTTTAAACACAACTCTGTCCAAGACTGGACAAGAGCTGCCTCTTTGCTTGTTCGGATTTGTGACACGTCTTCTGCTGTCTCGCCATGAGGAATGTATCTGTGACGGACATGATCCACGTCCTGGACACCGACACTGCGCCGATGGACGTGCTGCGCGCCATCGCGCAGTCCGGGGTGAGTACAGTAGAACCTGGATAACTAGACTCTCATGGTGATTATTAAATAGGACTTAAAGGTTGACTTATTATGGAGATTTGCAATAAAATGTGATTAGATATAAATGAATTCAAGGGGATTTAAAAATGACACTTGTTATCAAGAGTGACTTGTTATTGATGGTCTTGTTACCGAGTTTCCACTGTATCAAACTTGCAAATTGAATGATCTTAGTTTAAGGAAGCCTTAGGGTATTATTTTGAAAAAGTTAGTTCTACTTACTCATCTGAGAAAATTCACAGGCTTACATATTTCTCTTGATCTTTAAATGAAGTCCTGCAAAATATATCAATGTTATTTTATGTTTATTGGTAGCCCTTGGAATTTTCTTCAAGCAAGCTAACTGAACCTTATACTTTTTTGAAAATATTTCCTTAAGGTATGTTTTTTCTAGCAGTTTGTATAATTTAACATTTACTATTTAAGTAGCCATGTATCAATTCCAATGTTTCCATAACACCAAATTTGTATGCTCCTTGAGAAGGTTTTTAAAATTGCATAGTATAAACTGGTTTGTGAGCAATCAGACCTATAGCCAAACAAATAAGACCACCAAATTTTAGTTCACAGACATAAAAACGTCAATTTAAAAAGCTTTGAACAACTTTATGAGAAAATGGGCTTCCTTAGTTGTCAAAATATGTCGTAACAAAATGGTGCTGACTCACTTTGTTGCAAGCAAAACATTGCCTTGTGTATTGTTGCAGCTTTGTCAATGTTATATTTACGACAAAACTAGTCAGTTGGTCAGCACCATTTTTTTGACAAACATTTTTACTAAAGACAGATAATGAAACTGTTTCCTTGTTATGTTTCTTTTGACTTTTTTATATCTTGTTTATTAGATTTTTCTAAACCACTTTAATCTTGCTAACAGTAGCCTGCTTTGAAAATACAAGTTTATCTGAATTAGTTATTAACCTAAATTATTTTCAATGAAAACCTTATCATAGGCCTACTATTTGACACATGACTACTCAATGTCTGCTCTGTCATGCCAAGTGTTTCACACCAAATGTTTTCAAGGTCTCTGCTGTGGGACTGATGTCAGTTGACTTTGTCCATGATACAAGCTGTTTTTACAGTCTTGAACAAATTTACATTTATTTATCAGACAAAATAAAGAACACACTGTCACCAATATGGCGTGGCGTTCTTTTGTTTTTAAATGTTAAGCCATGTTTATTTTGAAATGGAACAACGTAGCCTATAGTAATTCTTATATGTGTATTAAAATCAAATTAACTATCGCCAAAACTCTTAATAGTTACCGTAATACTTACTATCTGTTTCCTTAAATTCTTTGATGTAAGAAAGAAATTGTTGGTTAAGGATCTGGATATGGTAGAGGAATCCTTTGAAGATCCATATTTTTCCCTTGTATAGCCTTGTTTTTAGGTTTCCTTTTTCTATTTTATTTAATTATGTATAACTTCATGACTGAAGGTGGTAAAGTATTGTAACCTTTAGAACTACTTATAATTATTTGTTAGCTCAGAATAGGGTGAATTCAATTAGGTATGATTTTAAATTATTAGCCTGAAAACCCAATCAATTTGCTAATTGTTGTTTATTAAAATTTTATTTATGTCCTTAACTGTCTTAAGCACCAATATTTTATTGCAACGGAGCTAAGGAGAATATTTTTGCAAGAAATCTTTGAACTTTCTTTAAGGAAGATGTTCTAAAATAAGTTTAATATATTATTGATTTCTGACACATTTTCCGTTTTGTTTCTGCATAGTAATTTTAAGTTATTTTCTGTCGCTAAAAACCAATTCCAGTTCTCTCTTTGTGAATTAGGTTTCTTCAACTGTTTTATTGAGTTTTAAAGATGAAAGAACGGTATTTCGGGTGCCGTAGTTGAAAATAGCAAAGAGCAGAAATTGCCAAAAATACAAAATGTTGGTTGGTATTAAGGTAACATGTGAGACTTGAATTGAACCACATGGGCTGGCTGGCTTGCTGCCAACATTAACTTTGATTGAAAGTTCCTCTCTTCGACCCTCGCACTCCAGGTTCATCCTCTCTCTTTCTCTCTCCCCCTCTCTGCCTCTCTCACCAGTTCCGCATTTACCCTCCTTTATTCATCGTTGAACCAACATACCATTTCAAATCTATTTCCAACCAAGGCCTCTTTAGAAGAAGGAAGAGTCACTATTTCCGTTTTCTGTTTTTGGAGTTAGTTTGTTGTTTTGAATTATCAAGTGATTCATTTTGCAGAGAAAGTTGAACATAAAAAAACTTTATTTAAATCTGTTTGCTTGTTTCCATTGACTTCTTCCAGCGTGATGTTTTTAACTTTGAAAACATAGACTAAATAATAATTAAATAGATACATTCCAAAGGAAATCGGAACCATTTGCTATGATAAGTGAATTTGTATTGGGTTGTAAATAAAATAACATCAAAATAATTTATTAAAAAAGTACAAAGACAATTGCTAATTTTCAAAAGACGAAAAATTTGGTTATAGTGTCAAATGGATGTGGAGACATTACAAATATGAATCAGGCGAATGCAAACTTCTATAAAATTATTTACTGGTTCTTAAGTAAATTGAAAATTTCAGTAGCTTTGAAATTCTATGCATATATAAAAACAACATTAGTAAAATATGCAGTTCTTGAAATAAGTGCTCGGAGAAGTATTTCTCTCACATTATTCAACCAGGCAAAATCTGTTTATACATTTATTTAATACTTAGGCATTATAGTTTTGTAGTAGTTCTTGCTCAATCATGCAATGTTGTAAACCTATTTTGTCTGTAGGTCCAGGAGAATGCTTTTTATGTCCTCGACATTGGGGATATTGTCCACAAACACTCAGAATGGAAGATGAAGATGCCCAGAGTTGAACCTTTTTACGGTCAGTCGTCACAAAACATTCTTCTAATACAATTAATTTTAGTGTAATTTAAAAATATACTGTTTGATAAACTTGTAAGGAGAGATGTTAAATTTAGTGAGTCAGAGTCTCAGTTGGTAGTGCCACTCATTTTGGCCCGAGGCAGCAATGTCGTGAGTTCAGATTCTGGTACGCCACTAGTTTTTATCAGTACAGTTCGCCCTTGTACTGCACTGGCTCATCCCTTGCTTTGCTGGATGGGTTCCTTTTTCAAATCCATAGCCTATGTGGACGGGAAAAGAAAACTGCCAACCTCTTCGGAAAAAAATGGGTGATTCAAAGATACACTTGCTAATTAATAAAATCATGAATACTTAAAGATCGGACTTTTAATGTATCCTTTTTATACTTTACTGTAAAAAAACAGATCCACACTTATTAGCTGTAATAGTATATTTCGAACCTAGGGCCGAAAATGAGGTTTTGCTGGCTCGAGATAGTTTTTAAGTTCGAGACGAAGTCGAGAACTTAAATCGATCGAGAGCTGCAAAACCATTTCGGTCCGTGGTACGAACGCTATTTTTCACCACACTATACGCTATTACCACTATTCACCACTAAAATAATGCACACTGATGGTAAACACAACTACAACTTTAAGGTTATGTGAAGAAATAATTTGAGGAATCAGCAAAAATAAAAATAAATAGTTGCTAGGCAACGATGACAATAACACAATTCTATTGCAATGCTATGGATTTTGATTGTGTATTTAAAATGTGTTCATGTTTTAAGTTAGCGGACAGCTGATTTTGCGGCCCCGGCCTGTAAAAACCTGCTCGGTACCCAAATTACGATGACAGCTGACATGGCCAGCAAAACGTAACTTTCAGCCACCAATTAACGTATGTAATACATCCAAAAACATCATAGTGTGGTGAAAATATATTTTCACCACACTATGATGTTTTTAGCGGTTTTACATATGTTAATTGGTGGCTGAAAGTTACGTTTTGCTGGCCATGCCAGCTGTCTCGTTATTTTGGGACCGAGCAGGTTTTTACATCCCTAGGACCGCAAAATCAGCTGCCCGCTTACTTAAAACATGAATGCATATTAAATACACAATCAAATTCCATAGCGTTGCAATAGAATTGTTATCGTCACCGTTGCCTAGCAACTATTTATTTTTATTTTTGCTGATTCCTCAAATTATTTCTTCACATAACCTTAAAGTTGTAGTTGTGTTGACTATCAGTGTGCATTATTATTGTGGTGAATAGTGGTAATAGGGTATAGTGTGGTGAAAAATAGCGTTCGTACCACAGACCGAAATGGTTTTGCAGCTCTCAATCGATTTAAGTTCTCGACTTTTTCTTGAACTTAAAAACTATTTCGAGCCTACAAAACCCCATTTTCGGCCCTAGGTACGAAATATGCTATTCTGCTGCTTTACGTTTAAGTATTAGATTCAATGTAATTCACCTATCTGTTTTGCCCATAGTTTATAATGTCCGTCTTTTTTAAAATATTTCTGGTTCAGTCAATTATAGACTAAAATCTTTATGTTTTGGAAATACTTAACACACAAGGAATTTATGTGAAAATAAGATAAATATACCTAAGCTACATTCTTTGAGAAAATTGATGTCGAAGGGCTTACATGTTCCGTAAAAATATTTCTACATTCTACAACTTTTTTGTCACAACTGATCTTTTGACCTAGTACAGAGATTCTTTATAGAGTGAATAGAGAAACATTTATGTTTTTATCTTTATTTGCAGTGTAGCGAGTTAAATTCTTTAAAAACCCTCATGGTATTGCAAAGTATCTCTCAAGAAGTTAAGATTTTTTTCACAATCGTGCTTGTCCAAAATTTAGAAATATTTTCATAAATGTAGCTATTTCTCAATATTAATGTTCTTATAGTTACATACAACTAATAGACTAATAACTGTTTCCGTTTGTAGCGGTGAAGTGCAATGACAGTCAGCTCGTCCTGGCTACCCTCGCGGCTCTAGGAACCGGGTTCGACTGTGCATCCAAGACAGAAATCGCCAAGGTACTGTTTCATGTTAAAAATTATCAATTTGAAATAAAAACCATTATATATTGTAGCCTAGACTAGTGTTTCCAAACATCTTTTCTTTAAACCACTTCACAAGACAAAAATATATTGCATAGGTAAATTTAGGAATTTAATGGATGTGTTTATTATTGTGCTAATCTAACCATTCCATTTTCTAAACATAAGTTTTAATGTTTCCTAAGAAGGTTATATTTTTGCAATTGATGCATATCTGAGTGAACTACAAAGCACAATACATGAGAGTTTACTTATTGCTTAAATATTTCGTGTGTGCTAAATTTCAAGTCGGTCGCATAGGTTTCTATAATCCTGTCTCCTCTGTAACGTATTGTTGACTGTACAAAGTTGTCGTTGCCAATCGGGAGTGAAATAATACTGACGCGTCAACCTAAACAATCCTGACATATTATAGAATACTGCTATTTAAAACTTAATTACGTACACCACAATGACCTCTGCATACCAAAGGTTGGGAAACACTGGTCAGACAATGCTGTAGGAACATGTTCTAGATGTTGTTTTGGAATCTTACAAGTATTTTGTTTTGACTATATTAATATGACTCAACTACAGTACTGTATTGTCAAATAAATTCTGCTGGTTTTACACAGCTGACAACCCAAGTAATATCAGTATGTTTTCATTGTTTATATCTTAATTCTAAAGTTGAAAGCAATTTCACCTTGTAAATGCTGTATGTGACAAAAGATGAAATTTTCCTGTAGGTGATGGACCTAGGAGTTGATGGCAGCCGTATCATTTTTGCCAATCCTGCCAAAATGGCGTCTCACATCCGCTACGCAGCCTCACAAGACGTCAACACTATGACCTTCGATAACGAGTGTGAACTGTACAAGGTCAAGCAAATGCACCCTAACGCCAGGTAATTTGGGAAGAACATTGTTGAAAAAATAAGTTTTTGAATTTTTCCTAAATATTTCAAAGAATGTAGTTTTTGAATCTTTCTTACAAAAAATTCAAAATGACCAATTGTGTTGAAGATAGGCCTATATATTATTTTTGAGAATACAAAATGTAATGGACATCTAATTGAGCATTTGAGGTAACTAGGCTGTGTGTACTGAAGATGTTTTGTCTGCAGGATGGTGTTGCGTATTCGGTGTGACGCTACAGTAGCCCAATGTCAGCTGGGGATGAAGTTCGGCTGTGATCCGCTGGTCGAGGCTCCTCGTCTGCTCAAGCTGGCCGCTGCGCTGGGAGTTACGGTGGTGGGGGTGAGTTTCCACGTCGGCTCCGGCTGTCAAGATCCTCCCGTGTTCCGTCGAGCCATCTCTGCTGCCCGTGACCTGTTTGACCTCGGCGGCCAGCTGGGCTTCAGCATGAGCTTGTTGGACATCGGTGGTGGTTACCCCGGCAACCGAGGCAGCAGCATTGATCAGGTGAGTTGGCAAAAACGGTATGGGTCTTGCGCTATGGTGTGAGTGTTGGAGTAGGAATATACGGATTATCTTAACAGAGTGTACTGTGATAACGTTGTTCCACAGAGAAGTAAGGCACAGAGGAAACAGGCTTACAGGACAACCGTGTGCCTTCAACTCTTGTATTTTATGCCGGAAATATAATTGTGACGAGCAAGGAAGAGCCAAAATGGCAAGCATTTTGCGGAACGGAAATTTCTATTGCACAGGGCACCAGGGTCTTCCCTCACCGTGAGCGTTGTAGTACATGAAGGTGATGGCCGGTGCGGGACCTTTCAATAAACGCTACTTAGTTGTACCAAGGAGTCTATCCTTTGTTCCTTACTTCTCTGTATTATTCATAGAGATAGGCCTCCAGAGCTGTTAGATGTATATGACAAATTTTCCATCAACTTTTGACTCCTCGAAGTGGATGTTGGGTTTGGACTTCTAATAAGCTATATCATACAACCTGAATCAAGGATCTGACGAAGAATATGCTATGGCTTGATAGAAGCCCATACCCAACATCTACTTCAAAGAGTCAGATTTGTGACGGAACATTTGGTACATACCTTGTAGGGAACTGAATTTAAGCATTCCAACTGAAAATTATTGATCAGAAAGCTCGGGAATGTCTTTTTCAAGCATTTGTAATTTGTATCCTGTAGATTTAAGTTTATTTATTTTCGCTCTTGAGCTTGACATCATAGTTTATAATCTGAGTGGTTTCTGCCTACTGATATTTTCTCTAACTAAGTAAGTATTATCTGGTGTAAAATGGTCCAGTGATACTAATAATACTCCATGTGATGTCAATATAGGTTTTTAATTTATTAAGATTTACAAATATCTTCTTTAGGTGCACCATATTTTCTACTCTTCTTTGTTTAATCGGTTTGTTGGATTTTGTTATGCTTCTCTAACATTTTTCTTAGGTTTTTGAATTATTTAGGTGATTCAAGGTGGCGTCATTGATAGTCTATGAGGTTCTTTGCTTGAAATCCTGAAAATGTACTATAATAACTCATACAGTCTACATTATTATTAGTATTATTACCCATGGACCAAATTTAGTTGTAAAGTTTATATTTTTAAATTACTGCCGTATGGTTTGTAAAATACATGATACCTTTGAACTATTTGCACATATTTTATTATAACTATCTCATCATCATTAGATCCAGACGTCTGTGTTCACATACCATCAATTTTTCCTCAACTCATCAAGAATTTAATGGTTTTGCAATCATCCTTTGAACAACTTCTTTTTTGCCATCCAAGCTATAGCAACAAAATTATTACCCTCGAATCACAAGCTTAGATCTTTCATAGTTCACCATTGTCTCTTGTTTTTCATTGTAGTACACAAGTGTTCAAATTTCACATTTTTCATTTCGGCACATTTTGTTCTACAAAACTATTGCTATGTATTTTTAGGTTGATGGTGTATTTACTAAAATGTTCAGTAACATCATACTGACAGGAAGTTTATTCTTTAACAAAGAAATGGTATCAGTGCTGATTCCAGAAAATTTGAGTTATAGCGTTGTGTAGAAATAAATTATTTTCTAGACTATCCTCATGTTCATGAGATATTAAATAATGCATTTCAACTTGTCTATACTTATGTTTCTGTTTATTATTTTCTGCCCAGTCAATCTTAATAATGACTCTGATCTCAGTATAGTTGTTCTCTTTTCAAAGGATTTCAGTCAAATATAACAATGGAGTTTCTATCTTCTATTGTGATGCTGTGTTATTTCCTGTTGTCAGCGAGAATATTTCACACAAAAGAATCATTTGACTTGGCAGGGTCTGGAGTTTAATTAGGAGTGATTATAGTTCTTCTTCAAGATCTAGAATGGCTACTTCTATTACATTTAACGATTTAAAAAATATTTCTTCTTGTTAAGCGTTGATGTCATCTACAAAACTGGCTGTGTTTACTTGTCCTTTTTTTAGATAAATCATCACTCTCACTCACAGTTAAGACTGAAACATTACTTTTAGGCATCCATCTTAAGATTGTGTCCATTGGATTTAGGAATTTATATTTTGCTTCAGACAAGATCAGGCATGGCTACCTTTTCATGTATATTCCTCACCTTACTTACTGCTTACTGCCATGTCCACTTGTACTCAAGCTGGTGCCTTGCCTCACCAAAATGTTGTCGGCAATTCTCTCAGTTTTCTGAATCTTCCTCTATTAGTCTAATTTTTTCCATATTTTTCACCTAGATTTGGAAAATCTTCTATTAAAAACCAAAACTTACAAACCAAAGTACACTCTTGGCTTATAGGTCTACTCTTTAATTGTGGATTGCAGTGAAACCTTGAATGAAATCTCATGCAAAACAAGCACTTGGTATTGTTTCTTTTCATATAAAACTTGTATCACCAATCAAAAATGTTTTGCTTCTGGTGTTTGGTCAACTCAAGATGCAGATCCATATAACATGAATAAGATGTTATCAAATTTCCTTGCTCATTAACATTAAATTTACATTGCTTCATCTGCAGACATAACTGGTTTAGTGCTGTTGTATAATGACATGTTCACTGTTCAGCTAAAAAGTTAAACCACATGTGGGGTCAAATAAAATAAGCATTTATAGGAGATATTATTGTTGGTTTTAATATGCACATTTTTACATATATTTTAACCTCAATGTTTCAGAATACATTAAAATGAGTATGTCTTATAATAGCAATGGGTGCAAGTTAGGTATGTCTCTATTTCTTCTGGTTGGTTGTAACTAAAAAATAATATTATTTAAGATTCCTACTGAAATTTAATTTGTTGTTAGCAATGTATTATAAAGCTTTAAGTGATGTATAAAAGACAATTTAATAACATTTTTGTGTTTGTTATTTTAAAGATACTTATCTATATTTTTAAATTAAGTTCCAACCAAGCCAAAGCCAAGCAATCTAGATCAAATATAAGACCACTGTCGTGTCCTTAACTTCATCCACTACTGTTCTAGGTGAGTTTCATCCTTTAAGGATGATTATTCACGTATATTTTTCTTCACATAATTTTTGTCAACAAGGACTTGACTATTCGTCCCATAACTGTGGGATCAATCTTGAATGGCAGTGAATAAAGTGAACACTGCAGTGGTCTCAAATTTGAGATAGCTAGCTTGCTTAGTCACGACGAGAGCTTAATTTATGGACAGCCCTCGTATTAACAACAAACCTTGATTTAAAGGCACCCTTTATGTTTGACCTTAAATCATTCTTCAAGTGTTAAATTAAATCTTGAAATCAGATACACATTGTCATTTTGACCAAAAATTTGTATTTGTTATTCTGTGTTTGGCTTATCTCAGAAACAACTCTACAATGAAATCAGTCTTGTTTAGTTGAGAACCAAGTAGAAGCATTTCCGTATGTTTGTACCTCATGCCCATGATTAAAAAGCCTAATAAAACTGTTTGATTGGTCTGTGTTGTCATTCACGCCTATCCCAGTTACGTCCGCAATAACCTAACCATAGTGATAAGAGCGCGCCCAGTCCACAGGTAGGTAGGACAGTGGATTTGGTCGCGGCGCGAACATTGCCTCAACTCAATCTGCTCTATTTCCAGTTTGGAGGAAAGTGGAAACATCAAATGGAAAAGAGGTTTCGACAAGTGTGTTTACGCTCGGAGAGACGGCAAAAGCACGGAGCGAAAGCGTGTACTAGGGAGCAAATTTGGCTAACGGGGCCTCTTAGGCCCGGAGTTACATGAGTGATCCTGAAACATTAGTTGCATACTGCACAAGTTTGTATTTAGGTGAATTTTAGCTCTAAGTTTTTAACTTTAGCGTTAGTTATTTCAGTGTTGTAAATACTGATTGCCGAGGGTTTTGCTGCTTTTGAACCTGGTTCGCCCAGTTGATGAGATATGTTTTACCGATGATTGTCATCTCTTGAATGTTCTGTTTACGCTTTAATCAATCTTTCTTCTCCATTGCCGAGCCAGTGAACAAAGATCTGTTAGTTTAATCATTTTCATGTAGAACACTCATCAGTTAATCAATGTTTTTCTGTTTTACTTGTACAATCATCTTGCCACCTGTGCTATACAAACAACCACATGTGTTGTACTTTAAAAACTTATCCATCTCCTATGGTAAATTCTGAATTGTGTTTGGTAACAGTTACGACCAAAATCTACTTTTGACGGATCATATTTTATATCATTTTATTGTCTTCCTTGGATCAGTTAATTAAGTGTTTTCTGGCATTAATCCACTTTTCCTTAACTTAATATTAAATTCCCTTCTTTTGGAATCACACCCATTTTCTGTGGTCAACCTTCATTTTTTATTTAGTTTGTTTATCCCGAAGTATATCTTCTGTAAGCTCTGAAATCCATCTGTTTACTTGTTCCATAACTGTAGTATTTTTTTCTGATTCGGTCCTAAGGAGCTCAAATCAAGTTACTGAGAAACAAGATGTGTTTTCTTTATTTTGCTTGTACTGATGGCTCTATTTTCTTTTACTATATTACTTAATAAAGCATTATGTTTTTAATGTCATGCTTGAATATTAAGAAGAGTACATCTTCATTATTGTATGCTTCATCCACTGATGACCATATTACGTTTGTGACCTCATTCCATCGTCTCCTGATATCCTCGGTAAATCTCTAATTTTTAATTGTGAGATTTTCTTTAACTACTATGTTGTATCAAAGGATTAACCAATTTTTTCCTGTCTGTCTTTAAATGTGTCATTTGATTTGGTTTTGTTTTGAGCCATCTATATTAAATAATACTGATTGACTCCATTGGACGACTTTCAACCCTTTAAACTGAAATTACTTTTCTATATTTAATATTAAATAAAAGCTTCCTACATGAAGCTTTCCTGGGCCTGAAGAAAATTCACCTCAAGGCTCCGTTCCATTAGCTTTCTCTTGCGTATTATCATTATTTTATCATCAAATTCTTTTGAACTGAATATTTTCCAGAAATCAATGAGATGTAATTCACCCTTATATATCTTCTGACATTTATTTGAACAACTTCTTCTTGTCCGAAAGTGTCAATGTTCATCTTACTCATATTCTGAGGATTTGGATTTTATGACGTTGGATCTTGACTTTTCACATGATGCTCTTCTGAGAATTAAAAACTTCGATCATTGGCTTTTAATAAATGGTCTTATTTAAGGAACCAGCTGATCTTAGTCAGTAACAAAGCAACAATACTTTCATTCAAAACCAATGTTTCACTAATTTCATCATACACACACCCTAGTGTGTGGACATCTTTGTTGATCAATATTTAGTTACTTCATCGTCACAATGTAAATTCTACCCTGTCCTATTAGAAGGAATTTTCAAGTTTTAAAATAGGTTGTTTAAGCGCCCTGGGCAATCAGTATAGTAATAATAAGCATTGTAATTTTATTGTAATATTCCAAAGTAACATGTAACTAACATTAAACTTTTCAGCTCTTTTAATTCCACCGGTAATCATTCTTCAGTGTAGCTTATTTTACAAATTTTTGTTTTGTTCATGCTTTTGTATCATGTGTATGTTGTTAGGTATTCAAATTTTAATTCTCTCATATAAAAATAGCTCATAAACACAACAATTTACCAATTGAACTTTCGCTGGAAAATATTTCAATATCAAATACGTTAATACACTTCATAAATCATTCATAATTAATTCACCCAAAATAATACATAACACAAAACATTTAGGAAACAGTTTTTTTCTTAACACAAATACTTGACACTTTAATAATGTACTTTTTCTATCATTGTTACAGTTATACATTTTCATTGAACTATCCATTTGACATCAATTTGTTTTTAAATCTACCCAAATATTTGACATGTAGCCTATCTTTATATCTTTAGTAGGGTTAATTGTTTTTTTTTTGTTTTTTTTTTAAATTGTCATTTATTGTATGTTGTGGGCAATTGGTGTAATACACATAGTTTAAAAAAACTCACTTTAAACTACATAACATAAAATCTATTTTTGTTATTGAAAGCCTTAGATCAATCTAAAAAAATATGTACCTCATAATTGTGTTCCAATCATTTTTTGTTAGGGTATAAAATAAAGACTCTTTCATGTGTAAGCCTTTAGATTTATTAACAAATATATTGTTAATATTGTTAATTTCTTAGGAAAATTCTAGTTGATCAGTATTAACATCACATCAGTCTCTTTTTAAGTTTTTATGTTTTCAATTAATGTTATGTGTAAAAACACCATTTCCCACAGCAGTCAGCTTCTTGCTACTGAGGTGTCTGTTAGAGTCTACATAACGTGTTTGTCTGCCTTTAGATCTCCGAGGTGGTGAATGCAGCTTTGGACGACTACTTCCCCATCTCACTTGGCGTGCAGATCATCGCAGAGCCCGGCAGGTTCTACGTCGCCTCCGCCTACACTCTGGCCACACTCATACACTCAAAGCGGGACACCATGTACTACATCAATGACGGTGTCTACGGCTCCTTCAACTGCATCTTGTACGATCACGCTGTCGTTAAGGCGATCCCACTCGAGGTGTGTGTTGTTTAATTTAAGTTGATTTGTATCTATAGTTGAGCAAAAGGGGGGGAAAATTAAATTTTGCACCAATCAAAAGTTTAGTGAGCGACTGTTGTTCAGGTTCGCCTACATAAATGAACTCTCGTCTCCACTCATTTGCCTGTGGGAATTCGTTAGACAGTTCGTACGCAGTTCTGTTGTGTTTGATCCCAACTGTCCAAGTCTAAACATAGTATACAGTGTTTCTGATACAGGAGGGGAAAACGGATCAAGTTTAGCTCAAACTGTGGAGTCAGAATACAACACAACCATGTCAGATAGATATAAGAATCGTTTGACTGTATAAATAGGAGTTTATATACAAAAACGGTGAAAGTTGTAAAAACATAAAACCAGTAAAAATATACATGTAATCATATAAAAATAATAACTTGAAATGTTATCAATCAATGAAAGTTTCTGATTATATTATGTGTGCAGAACAAGGGAGGCAAGCCGCTGCTGTCGTCTGTGTGGGGCCCGACCTGCGACGGACTAGACCAGGTGTTGGACAGTGTGTTGCTGCCGCCCCTGGACATAGGGGACTGGCTTGTGTTTGAGGACATGGGCGCCTACACTCTACCTGTTGCCTCAACCTTCAACGGCTTCCCCGTACCCAAGGTGCATGCTGTCATCGATGAATCCGTCTGGTGAGTTGCTACGTTTGAATGTCAGTTTGTTGTTCTTTTATGTCCTACCTTGACATCCTCCATAGTCTCTAGCTCGGAACTGCTTCACATTACTTCAGGCTAGGCCTAGAATGTCATGGCATTGTCACGTAAACATAATCCATTGGTTATTGGTGGCATTCGAACCCGTAACCATTAGACTAGCTCGCTAGCCAATGTCATTGTAGATATAAGGTTAAATATTAAAAGCTTATATTAAAGGCTTACATCGTTTGTAACGGATTAGGCCTAGAGTTTACCTAGCTTTAATTTGAGAAAATTAGAGTCCAAGGTCAAATAGACACTAGACACATAATAAAATGCATATACATAACTCTTCATATTTTGTTCTAATGTAGGACCCCATCTTAAAATGCAACCAATTCTTCTAAGAAAAACAAATTTAAATTTGTTTTAGACTACTGTATCTCATGAATTAGTTGAACCCAATCAATTAAATTGTAACCATTGTCAAAATTAAACAGGAATTCTTTCTATTCTGTTCCAGGCGTTTCTTGAAAGGCTGTCTTCCCCTGACAGAGGACCACTTCATTGCACAGAACAACAACTGGACGTCAGTCTGGGACATTCCCTCTCCTGAGCAGTCTACCCCCTCCTCCCCCTCTCCTTCTCCCTACATATATGAACTCATGGCTTGATGGATACTCGGCTCTGCTCGGCGACCCTGGTTGTCATGGCAACATCACAATCTGCTATCAACTTTCCACCTCGTACACAAATCCTCATCGATTGTCAGCTTTATTTTGATTTAAAATTGTTTAAATTTTACAAGTAACTGTTAAGTTATAATTTAACATCATTAAAATGTTTTGTTGTAAATTGTTTCCAAGTGCAGTTTAATTTTTTGTGTGATGAGGATGACTGTGTAGCTGTGCTTTGACAACCAAACCGGCTTCTGATTTTCGGTTGACGGATGATTGTTTTACTCAGGTCTATTTTAGTATAGTCTGGTTTTTATAGTCACCTTCGCACAATTTAATGTTGATAGTAATCATTATCATTCTCCTTTTGAATTGATTTTAAAAGCTACATTTTACATGTTTACATTTCAAGGTGACTATAATATTATAACATTCTTTATTGTTATCTGAATATATTAAATACTAGTCATCATTGACATTGATAGCTTATTTTTAATATGCCTATAGATTTTGTAACAATTTCACTACAAAAATCAAGTGTATTGATTAATTGGTCTTTTAATACAGCACAACAGTAATTTTTATTTAGTAATAATATTTTCAATCAATGATGACTTGATTGTAACCTTTAGTCCGATTAGGGAAAGAACCATTCCAACAAATCAGTAAACAGTCTTATTCTTTTTATGTTTATACAATTTCTATTTGGGTTTTTTGGGTAAGGTCATGGTGGGAGAGTAGAAGACGTGGACAGCCCTGGTGGCGCGGGGCTTGTTGTTCGAATTTGCGAAGAGGCAGCTTTGGTGGTGCATCAAAGTAAATAATATTTTTGTTTTATTAAAATAAATTGTGTGTTGTAACTGTAAAACTGTGTAGATGTAGCAATAAAATTACCAATGAAAATGTGTGATTTTTTTACCCACAATCTTTGTAGAAGTTTTAGAAAATTGTGGACCCACAATCTTTGTAGAAGTTTTAGAAAATTGTGGTTTTGTTGTGATACATAATGTTGGAATATATTCAATTTGATGTAGTTGAGAAACTACACACTTCTCTGAATGCATAACGTTTTATCATATTATGGCATGTATATAGAGCAGTGTTGGGGAAGCTACTTTTAAAATGTAGCTAGCTACCACTTCTGCTACATTTCCAAAAAAAGTAGCTTAGCTACAGCTACAGCTACAGTTCCGAAAAAGTAGCTAGCTACAAATACAGCTACAGTTCCGAAAAAGTAGCTAGCTACAACTACAGCTACAATGAAATGTAGCTACAGCTACAATTTTAGCTACTTTTCCAAAGACGTTACTTTTTTTCCACGCACATTAGGTAAATGTAAAATTAATTGCAACTACATTTTTATTGAACAAACATTTAAACAAAAAATGTCAGTATTGTACTTGGAAAACAAATTATTCCTAGATTGTATTTAATTTGTTGGCATTATAAACCTAACATTACAACAACGGAACCAAATAGTTGGGTGTCCCATCATATTTAGTATTTATTTTTAAATATTGCATTATTTTTAAGCATCTTATCTGTAAATGTCATTAGGTTCAAAAGACATACAACCAAACTAGATTAATTTATATATGTCTTATATCAACAATTAAGACCAATAAAACTGTAAAACGATTATTTAATTTTGTGTTACAGAGCCTAGCCTACTGAATTTGGAGTTTATTGCCTTTCTTTATTTTTAATGTTAAAAACGACATTGCTATAACTTTTAACCATAGTGATGAGTTACTTGTTCTATGAATAACACTTTTCAATGTCAAGAAATCGTCCTTTATTGTCATTATGCATAGGGCAAATTGTGCTTCAACCTAGTTGGTGCAGAAAACAGTATTCAGCAACTTATCCTGAAATCGGCTTTTAATTTAAACATGTTGAAAATTCTAAAGCAAAAATTAATAGACGAGTGTCTCACTAAGAGGTTTATATTTTTGAATTAATATACCAGTTGTATGAAACACTACTAATTAGAAACTCTATGGTTATAAAAAATACATATGTAAAAAAAATGCCCTCGAGTATCATTTGATTCTGATTGATCAAAACAAAATGGCGGTGTAACCAAATTAACAAATCAGGTTTGCTGACGGGATAAGAAAATTGTAAGCGATTTATGGACTTCAAACTTAAGCTTTGTATTGATCAAACTGAAGTCCATTAATCACATTTTTGCATCAAATTAATTTCAATTATGATTTAAGTCCAAATGTATCTCTATAACTTGCGTGTCATTTTAAAGAAATACTACAAATTGAAATGGTTTTGCAAATAAAATTTCGTAGTGATTGGTCACGATCAAGTGGGACTCGGAGGTGTTTGTTTACTCATTTTTGTGTTTTGTTGCAGCTTCGATGTGTCTGGTATATTAGTTCAAAAATAGCAATATTTGTGTAGCACACCCTGTATATATTATTTTATTACGTTGAGTTTATTAGAAAGCATATATGTTTTCCAAAGACGACATAAAGACTACAGAAAAACTTGACAATACTCAACATTTTTACAATTAAGTCTCCACTTGTATTGTTTTTAGATACTAAGTTACCTTTTGGCTTTTACGTATAGAATATGTATAAAAGATCTTAAGCTGACAGACTTTTGTCAAATATTCAGGAATTCAAAATTTCAGAAAATACCCAGACTGGGGACCGGTTTACTTTTTCTTAAAATCCATGTTTTAGCCCCTGAGCTGTATAATAATTAAAAATAGGCTTTACCTTCGTCACTGCAGCTCAAACACACCACAAGATGACGTACCATGATTAATCATTGATAAAAAAACCCCTCAATATATTTCATATAAGTTTGCCAAAAGACTGTTTAATAATTAATATATAAACAGTCATATGTTTTTCAATTGTTTTGTTAAAAAACAGTAAATAGTTTAGTGTGTTGTTTTGTTGAATACAATAAAGAAGATAAAGTTTTTGTTAAAATTGATTTTGTCATTTCTAATGTTTGATATTAATCGTCCGTGATATCAAAGGAATTGAATCACGTATAGTGACGACCTCAAAGAATTTGAGCTGCAGTGACAAAGGTAAAGCCTATTTTTAGTTACTTTTTCTATTTGATGTCCCCAGAGGCAAAAACACTATTGGTTAAAATTGTTAATATTGTGTGCACCTAAAAATGCATGCTCGATTTTGATGAAATTAGACATGAACGTGTAAGGCGGGATGAACTTGAATGAGTTTGCAGTCCAGCAAGACTGGGTCTTATAAACAGAGTGTTATGTTGTTTTGAAATTCTTATGTAAACTGATGCGTAGTCATACAATAATTACAGGTTACGAAGAAAATTTTAAAAATTCATTAAAATTCCTATGTTATTTTTACGGAGAAAAATAAAAGGTACTTACGTATTATACAGAGGCCACTTATTTTACAGCGCGCTGCGGCGGTTGGGTTAAGTTGGGTTATCATAAATATGTTTGTAGAACTTTCCTAGTTTCGTTATGAATCGAACTATACGAGATGAGTCATAAAAACTTATGATAACCCAACCTAACCTAACCGCCGCAGCGCGCTGTAAAATAAGTGGCCTCCGTATAATACGTAAGTACCAAATAAAACTGTTGTAGTTTCAATTCATCGATATATTTTTATTTAATTTGGCGAATTCATTTATTTCATGTTATTAAACCAAATTCAAAAAGCTGTAATTTATAAATTAAAATTAGGTACATAAATATTTTTTTACATGATTTTCAACCAGATGCATATAGTTTCATTAAGATCCGTTGTTGGAAAATAAGTGTTTTTGGGAACTATTTCGTTATCGATTTTCTCTGTGAAATTTTAACCCCTGTAGAACTATATCCCGTATTTTGGCTGTTTACTTATGGGACACTTTATTTGTATAAGCATTCTTGGGATGCCTTTTGTAGTAAGGTTGCGGCCTCATCATCATTCTTCAGTTTTCAAGTTCCGGTTAACGTGTCTGTAGTATGTTTAGTCAAAGAGTTTTTGGGAACAATTTCGTTCTGGAATTTTCTATATTTTGATTTGACCCATAAAACTATTTTCAGGAGTCACTGTTTAGTGTATAAGTGCAGGTTCAGGTCTCGTAAAATAAGTCGTCAATGTGATTACTTAATGAAATTAATGTATAAATACCTGTTTCGTGGTAATCCTAATTATTGCAACTAGTTTAGACTTTCTTGTTAGTCATCACAGGAGTGAAGGATGTCAAAAGGAAGAGATCACTTAAGAAGGTCATAGTTACACATGTACCTTTATGGTAAAAACGGTACATTTAAAACAAATAAAAAACGGTAACTGCAGTTTGGGGAATGATATGTCACGTATTGACTCGTCACTTTAAGACTTTTCTATGTTTTTTGTTTTAAATGCGCCGTTTTTACCATTTTAATGTCCGTGTTCGTGTTGTGTGTAATGAACCTTCTTATGAAGTGATCTTTCTTTTGACATCCTTGACGCCTGAAGATGATGACCTATAGTAGAAAGTCAAAACTAGTTGCTACACTAGCAGCAATTATACCATACGTTTACCACAAATCAGGCATTAACACCTATTTCATATACTCAACGTATTGGAGGCTAACATAAAAATATAACTTTACATTACATCACTTTGTTTTACTGGTGTGCCATTGGAATAAAAAAATGTAACAAAGATCAAAATCTACTTTATATTGAACAATTTAGGGTCTGATGTCTAATTGAAATTACTACAAGTTCATCGTCAACAGTGAGTGGGGAAGTTGTTTTTTTTTCCCAAACAATAAAACTTTATTTATACATTTCAAACAATTCAACATATGACTATGATTTTCAATCAAATATAAATGTTTAAAAAAATAAAATGAAAGCTCAATAGAGCAATGGGGGAATTGCGGCACCATCTTCAAATTGAATGCTTCGAATTTTTCGTCTAGTTCCCCGTAGCCTTAGCGAAACTGCTCGAATGATGGAAAGCTGGCTTTGGATCCTCAACCATCCGATAATTTGGGAGTATGGTTTTCTCCATTTTACAGCCAGGGCTTCGCTTGTTCTCCTCTGAAACGCTTCATATTCTTTGTGGGGGACTCCTTCCGTGGAACATATTAATGGTGTGAAGCTTCCTCTGATGTCTTCGGCTGCTTTGTCATATTTATTGTGTTTCTGAACGGCATGGTTTCGAGATATTGTTCCCCATTCTTGGTTGGCGTAAGAGGGAGCGTCAGCATTAACAATGCGATTATCAAAAAACGCTACTCTCTCAGCCTCCCAAATACCATTAACTTTAAAATCAGCTTTTAAAGCAGGCACATTGTTTGCAGGGTCAGCTTCTCTCATAATAGGCTCGACTTCAACCCCTTTCCAGCCATATTTGTTATCGCAGCACAGTGGTCTCGATGTTGATCATGCCCATGTTTGATCAATCCTCCTTTTTTACAATTTAATGCATGTGTAAGATTCATAGGTTGATCACAACCATCACATCGTACTGGTAAATTTCTTAGTGTGCGGCCATAGCGAATTGACAAAGCATCTCTGAATTGATCCGGGGACAAATCCGTATGATCAGATGCACATGGTGTCACAGTTAACCATTGGCTAGTATTCCCTGCTACAATTCTAATTATTGGCTTCTTTTGACTTTCAGGAAGTAATTCCATAATTCGTTCATTATTTGCTTTAGCCAACGTGTCTTTTTCTAGTTTTCTCTTCTTTTTTACATCTTGTAGTGTTGATACATGATCATTAATCTTTAATGGTTGTCCATTTTTAATGGCTAATATTATTTTTTCTGTGCATTGTTTTGATGTTTTAAATGAAATACCATCGTTCTTTGTCGGGTCCTGAATATTTAAGCCTCCAAAACGAGTAGGGAGAGAGAACAAGTCATGTTCAAGTTCAGAAATCTCTTGTTCGAAAAGGTTGGGAGTGAAATGGCGATGTATGGCAGTTTTTAAGTCTTCGTATTCTTCACTAAATCCCTCTGTTACTCTTTGAAGAAATGCCCATTCATTTTGTAATGACTTAGTAAAGGCGGTATACGCTGCTTGAGGACTTTTATGTGCAGCTATGCCAAATTTCTTTACACAATCAACCCATTTTTTTTACTTTTTCTTTCACGAATTCCTTCTTTTCTTCTGAGCTACCAATAATACCCCCTAAAAACCTGTACAAGTTGTTGATTTGTGAAATTTTGTGAACGCTCATCACCATTCATCGTCCAAGGATATCAGAGCAGATCAGTCTTCTAATAAGTGTAAGCATAGATAAAACATACTCCCTTGTGTTGCTTAGTCTATGGTGTAAGTGTCGTCGTCAACATCGCCGTGGTCGCTAAAGCCATGACTGTCTCCCTCCGCTACGATGAAAGATGTTCAGATTTTATCGTGCGATTGTACACACGATTTAATCGTGAACACATACGAAGCTCACGATTTTGCCATGATACGGCGATGTTCAAGTTTTCACTGCGAGCGATCGAGATTTTGATTTTCGATTTTGTCGCCCGCGGTGGCAAATTACTCATTAGTATGCAGGATATAGGCAACTGCCTAGGGGCCACAGACAGAAAAATAAAAATAAAATTGCTGTAAAAATAGTTTGAAAAGGCTTTAAAAAAAACTAACAAATTTAAAGCCTGTTTCTTAAAATTTTCCGGAGGAGGACCCTCGAACGGCCCGTCGACTCAAGGGGTATGTTTTATTCATAGTTGTAGACATTTAACTTTTATTCGGGGCTGAGCTGGGTATTGTAATATTGCAATAGAGCCATGAGCAAGATTCTTCTAGTTGGTACTAATCTAACAAAATTTTACAGCGTGTCAATTTTCTGGCAGAGTTGCTGACGCCGTGCCGGTGCTACCATTGAAAAATCAATGGTGTTACCTCCAGTTTTTTTTTTCTATCTAACTGATTATCACTACAGTATATCACATTCATTCAAAGTTTAATATTTAATGCCATTTGTTGGCAGCACTGACATTTTCACTTTTATAGGAATTCTGGGTAAATAAACATATGGAATTTGGAATTTCATTCATTTCCATCTGTCTGTTCTGTTCGTTTGTTGGTCTGTTCCTTTGAAGACAATATGGAGGTACCGTCAGAAGCATCATACTATTTACATTGAGGTGAAATCGCAAGTTTTGGCAAAGTTGAGCCAAGATCCTTTACAAGTATGTAAATTTGAGCGAATATTTCTTTTGTTTATGTTTTTGTTTTCACTTGAGTTGTAAAATCAGTCTATGATAGTTACCCAATAAGATTAAGCCTACTAACGAGCCTAGTCAGGTTGACTTGCCTTTTTAAACTTAATTAAACCTATGCTTATTTAATAACCACGTTAGTTTGCATTAAAAAAACATAACTTCTGTTAAATTATTTCTGAACTGTAGGTGATGTTTTGACACGAGCCATTCAATACTACGTTAAACAACCCAGTTAACTTAACATTATAATAATGTGGTAGGCCTAGGACTAGCCTAAGTTATTAAGTTTTGTTTCCTTAGGTTAAGTTAACTATCCTACCTAGAACTCAAAACGATCATGGATAGGCCAATGGTGGTTATGTATTAATTCTCTCTTGCATTGAATTAAGTTAAGTTAGTTATTTGTTTCGGTCCCTGGTAATACTTAAGAAGACATTCTAATTTAAGTGATAACAATTTTGGCAAATATTTACTGTATTTACATTAGGATATGATGTTATTTTTATATGTCTACTTACAGTATTTTTAACGCTGAATCCAAAAATGCGATCAGTTTTTGTCGGAGAGATTCCTAAGTTGCCATAGTGGCCGTAAAACGAAGGTTAGGATTACGAATCTAAGAATAATTGAGCGGTATTGAAGGTAATGGTAATATGGCGTGGTCTGGACTGGACGGGTCCGTACTGAGTGAGGAGTGAGGAGGACTGAGTGAGAAGAGCATAAAAAACTGTTTATTCTTGATCTAATGCGGAATGAAATCAAATCAATTCGTTTTGATTTTTGAAACCAAATAATCAGTTCTTATTTAGGCATCTGAGGAAGGTAGGTCGGGTTTTATGCGGATTCGTGACTGTATTAAGTGTTTTGAAGTGAGGTTAGATTAGGAAGGTAAAGGTTCATTATAACCTAACCTTTAACTTACCTAATCTAACCTCACTTCAAAGGACTTAATATAGTCACGAATCTGCATAAAGTCTGACCTATCTTCCTCACATGCCTTTTCTGACATAAACTGCGATTTAAACATTAATATTAAGGTTGGGTTGGGTTAGGTTAGATTAGATTAGATTAGATTATGTAACATCATTTATTAGATTGCTGATACATTAAATTATGCACTGTGGCACGTTTTCACTTTTAGACACAATGGGATTATGTACTATGGCATTATGCACTATGGCACGTTCATTAACAGACGTTGAGGCATTAGCCAATGGTTGAGGATTGGAATGAGGACGATGATCATGTCGGCAGTGGCCTAGCTTCTATTACTGATATTTTACGTGAATTAATTCTATTTTGTTTTATATTTCAAGTTCATGTGATTTCGTAGTTGATTTATTGTATTTTCTAAACAGTACCAAAGTTCTTTGAAAAATCTAGCTATTGCATATTGTAACTCTGATTTTGCTCTCATGGCGTTGTGTGTGGTTTTGTCTGTTTAGTATTGAATGTAGAATGTAAACAACTGACAGCTGTTTCCACTCCCTTCCACCCCTTTTAGTGTTAGTCGCCACTAGAATTTGGACTCGTCCATACCACAAATATGTTAATAAATCTACAAAACTGAAGCTTAATATTAATTATTTAACTGTACGGCCACTTAGGAATCTCTCCGGCCAAAACTGATTGCATTTTTGGATTCAGCGTTAAAAATACTGTAAGTAGACATATCAAAATTACATCATATCCCAATGTAAATGCGGTAAATAATTACCAAAATTTTCACTGATAAGACTTCTGATTTTAAAAATCTTCAGTAGGCCCTAGCCTTCAGGAACAGTTCTTGGAAAGACTTGCTTAACCTATTATTAATTTATTCTTTATATCTGAACTTTTAGATAATCTCAAAACTACCATTTCAACACATTGAGGATTTGCAGGATTTAAGCTCAGGTCTCCTTGGCTAAAGTTGTCCGTTCTAACCAATAACAGACTGTTTCCAATAACTCAGTAGATTAGTGCTATCAAACTTATTCATAAGTGTTAATTTCTTAGGTCTATCTTGAAACTGATGATGTTAATTAGGCCTACCGCAAGTACTGTGAATGTTTATTAAATTAAGGCCTAATCAATATTAGGCCTGCGGTACTTAGGTGACACCCTATTAGAAAGAAGCTCAAAAGATTTTTCACTTGGTAACCTGGATCTTAGTTTGAAATTTAATACTTGTGTACTCACACAAATCACAAAAAAAGAGAATTAGCTACTGCACTGCATACACGCACACCAACACCTTGGAGAATCACATCGTAACTTAGCCCTAGGCCTAGTCTAACTTACATTTACTTAAAAAGGCTCTACCAAACCCTCCCCAAGGGCTTTCCTTTTGATTGAGAGTTAATGTTTTTTCCTCATATATCAAAATGAGCTTATATCATCTAATGAATCGGTAAACTAGTGGTTTTTGAAGGTCTGGTTGTAAATAAGGGTCTGACAACCAGACCAGTTATTTTTAAATATTTTCTAGTGGTCTGGCAAGTGACTAACTTAATGATAATTTGACTTTGTTTAAGGGTTGCAGTTTGGTTCATTATTATATGTTAACAGTTGGCGTTGTAACTTAGTTGGTCAATTTTATTTCTGGTGTTTTAAGCTATCAGTGTTAACTTAACTAACTTAATTAAGTGATGGTTAATTTTTTGTCCAGGAGTACCTATAGTTTCAAGGATTAAATAGAGCTATTGACCAGTTTACGACGTTGAGTTTTATCAAAATGTGGTCTAAGTAAGTCTTATCAGTAGGGTTGAGCTGTAGAGGGATTCTTCTAAACGTTTTTAACATTTATAACCAAATGTATAGCATATAGGCTACTTACAATGGAAATTGGTTATGTTAAAAAGCTAAGATCAGCACATTCTCTGTAACCACTTGAATCCAACTTAAATGCTCATTGCGTGCGGCATTGTCATCGATTAAGATGGTATCCAAGTGTGCCATTCTGGCCAGTCACCGGGGGGAGCAGATCAATGCAAACTTCCATCTGTTAGTTTGGCATAGACACTTGATTTGGGAACATATGAAATTTGCTTGCATTTTGAGGTTAAACACTGTACTAGTGTATGACTAGCTGTGTATGTGCTTTTGCAGAATTTTGTTATTAGGGCCTGTTAGCAATTTTGTTTAATGTTATTAACTACCTCCTCGGTGACTGGAACACAATACATGCTATACTGTGGCCCTCCTAATTTGATCGAACTGAATTTAAACATTTTCGCCCACTCATCCACGCAGCACATGGCTGTTACTGCTAGCTTTTTAACCGATTATATTGATCCAACAGAAAACTAATAATGTAAAGTTGTTTCCGCCCAAAATTCAAAGCATTTTTCTCTGAGATAAGTGTATAGGCCAATCCATCCCTTAAAGTTATCACATTTATCCACAATGGTGGCATTGGTATTGTAACTTAGGTCTAATCCATACCACCCCTCAGCTCTAATCTTGTTATCAGTGGTGATAATTTTCGTAGTTCTTGAAGACAGAAGATTTCCAAGTTTTTTTAGTATAATTGAAGGTTACTTTTAAACTCTTGGCTGCTCCAATAAGATTATCAAAAAATGTTTTTGTTTTGGTATAATAGGCTAAAGCTCTTCTGTTGTAAGTACCGGGGCACCGAGCCATGGCTTGGTATAGTTTATTTAGATTGTAAATGCAATATAAAGGAAACTCACGCTTTTACAACTAGTTTATGCTTCTATTATTTAACTTCAGTAGAATTTTAATTTATTATGAATACACCCGTCGAAATTGTGTAAAATAAAAAAAAAGAGTTCCTTCTTAAAAATTGTTATCTACCCTTAAATGAGAGTGAAACATTGAGTTGATGCCAGTGCACTCAAATGGTACCAACACAAAACAGTCATCACTTATCAACACTGACTTGCTCTATTTTCCCTTATATCGAGTTATCTTCAATGTAAGTCTTTGCTCAATAGCTACATCAACTGATGATTATCACTTTGTACTGTATTTTTTAATTTGCACATGTTTAAAGTCTTTTGTTTACTTTTAGCGAATTTCCCTATAGGGAAGTAGCTATTACCGTAGGTGGCACGGTAAGACCTAGACCCGGGACCGATTTACTTTTTCATTTTGATGTCCCCAGAGGCCAAAAACACCATTCGTTCAAATTTTTATATATGTATATATATATATATATATATAGACTTATATATATATATATACGTCCGTGAACGCGATAACTTGAGTAATTTTTGTCCGATTTTGATGAAATTTGGTTTAAAGGTGTAAAGCGGGATAAACTTGAATGAGTTCGCGAACCAGCACGATCGGACCATGGGAACGGGGCTTTACGGGGGGTTTTATGGGGTAAAAATTGGTTTTTCTCACTTTTGACCCTCAAAACACAAAATTTCCCGATTTCTCTTTAGACCTTTTTAAAGAGCTTAAAAAAACAAATAATTTAGTATATAAAAGTATTTTTGTTCGATTATTAGTAACGGAGAAAATTAAAAAAATTTTAAATTTAAAATTCCCATGTTATTCTTATGGAGAATATTGTCAAATGTTGTAGTTTGCTTGTTTATGGATATATTTTGATCAAACTTGGCAAATTTATTTATTTTGTACTAAGCTATCAATATTTTACTCAAAAACACACTTTATTAGTTTCCTTGTAGCAGCAAACCTAGGTACTCGTTAAACCTAATGTTATAAAATATATTTAACTGAAAATCAATTCAGACAAATGGAAATTCGCTTAGTCGGCAGGTTTGCTGCGGCGGGGGTATTTACTTGTTATTTTGTTCAACCAACACTTGGCAACCCATGAGGCCAATGTTGATTTTATAAATTTTCAAATGAGTTGTGTAGTGAAATACAAATTTTCCTGGAGTAGTGGCTGTCCTCAATCACGTTTTTAGGGCTATAAGTCCCTATTTCCAACATTTTGCCAAAATCCTTTTGCTGGATTTTGAGATATAGGCTACATTACAAACAGACATAGCTCGTACTGTATTAGAATAAAGGATTTGGATGTTATGGATACCTATTAACTAACTATTTTATTAAATTATAACATAACCTCATACAGTGTTACGGCAACAGTGATTACAGTATGATGATGTGTGAGGATTTGATGCAAAGGAAAGGTTATTCGTAATGAGGAGAGATGACATTGATGATGGTTTCATGATGACACAGCTGTGTTCAAGGTTGAAGCTTCAGTCAATCTTCAGTTAGGAATGAGATGACAACAAACAGCGCTGATACCAGACTGGTTTTGAGAGGTCAATTCACATTAGTAGTATTAAAATAATGTAATAAAATATTTAAAAATATTAAACACATCCTAGTCAAGAAAATTCAAAAAGATCAACATATTCACAACCATCAGACTAGGAACAGAAGTGATTTCCGGTTTCTTATACATGGACTAAGTTCCTTTGAAAAGTTGCCTCAGTATTTTGGGAAAAAAATATATAATAAGCTACACCAAACAGGATAAAGAATATTGATAATTATTTAAGTTTAAGAAAGAAGTTCAGACCCTGCTGCTAAACAAAGTACATTATTGTATAAATGATTTCTTATGTGACACTTTTTAATATGATGTAAATATGTACATATAAAATTTAAACATTCGATTGAGTTATTTACCAAAAGAATTGTATCATGTATATTTTGCTTTTAGTTTTTAAGATGTTGACATGTCACCTGTTTTACCAGCTATGCTGAGGAGGAAAATGTATTGTGACGAATAAAGAACCTGAATCTGAAATATTTGGTAAAATTGCCGTAACTTAAGAACATCACAGTTATTTTCGTATCATTTTGAACCAACACAATATCTATGCTAAAGCATGAAGTCTAGATGATCTGTTAGTTTTATCATTCCTAACTTAACAGTCTATTGTTTGCTGTGACCTCTTTTGAACAATGTTATCAAACAACAGTAGGTAAGAAACTCTACTAATATGGTGTAAAATGTGTGTATAGCCTATAGAACTAATTTAGCAAAACCTACAAAAATATTAACCAGAGCCAATTAACAAAGTGGTTGAAAGTTGAACTATTTGTAACCAATCTACTTCATAAATATGAATTTGTCTTCTAAAATTAAATGACTTAGATAACAATTTCAGTTTTTACATAAGTTTAGGCTAAATTATTTCTACAATTAAAGTTGAAACTTTATATTCAACATTGTAACATTTTTTATTTTTTTTGCTACTTTCTTGTTATGGGCCATTCCATATCAAATCAACAAGGGTCACAACCCGACCATCTCGGATTTTTATAAAATTTTCCACGTTTGTTACCCTTACAAATACAAACACAGAACATTTTTTTGTTTATTTTTATCTCTTCCCGTTTATTTATAATTAATTTTTAAAAACTTCCAAAATCGGCGTTTTTTTACTTGCGGGGAGATCTTGAAAAATTCACAGACTGAGTTCTATTCATGCTAGAGAAGGCAGAAAGGTCTCATTTTATTCCTGTTGTTCAGGGCTTTTATTTGATATGCAACATGTCTATATTCTAAAATATTCCATTTTCCAAGAAAGTTTAAAAAAATGTTACGTACCGTATTTAAAAAAATGGTATTTTAAAAATTCTGAAAAAAATGTATGATGTACTTTACACTATTGACCATAAATGCTGTAAGTTTCATTATGGGACGGACATGGGATCATACCTAAACACTACATTTTCAAAGTAATGTTTCTGAGTGAGCATTTATTGCGCATTGGCTGCATAATGCCTAGTTCGGAAAAACGTTTGTATCAAGAAGTGGCCCTACTTATGAACAACTGGGCTGTCTGTCAAACTATTTACTATATGCTGCAAGTTTCATCGTGTCTTCTCTTGGCTTTAAGATTACTATGAACATAATAATTATTAAAAATATAACAATGTTGTTCATATTAGCCCAAAAGTTTGTTGTTGTATCTCCATTTTTATAAGGTAGTGAAAGTAGCCCCCACATTTAATCTCATTGAAGGGTACAGGATCTGAATCTAAATCTGTTAAAACTCGCTCTATTTGGCTTTCATTTGAGTTAGAGTATTGTTTTGTCGTAATTTTGTTTCTGGTAAGGGGAAGAAAAGCATGCAATTTTTGAGTGCCAGTGATGGTGCAACACTTATCAAATCTTTCCTTTAGTTTCAGTTGTTCTTGGATGTAGGTAGTCTTCTGTTGAGGAAAATTTGAAATGAATTCCATCTATGTTGTCTTTATCATACTGGTAAAATTGATGAGGATTAAGAATTTGTTCAGAGAGAGGTCGTTGTAAACTTGCTCGTGCCGTCAACCGTTTTACTGTGCCACCAACACCATCACTGACTCCTTTCCCATGAGAAGTGGCAGAGAAATTCCATTCAGCAGGCATACCAAAGTCATTGTCATCGTGGCATAGATTTATAAAGTTTTTTTTTTGTTTTCATACTGTACTGCTGAACCATCTGAAAAGTAATATATTTTTTATGGTTTCTTGCCAAAGTGCCGGTTAAGAAATTCAATTAAATGAGTTTGGAAGAGATGCACTGCTATTGTGTTGTGAGTTAAGTGTTCTGATATTACCCCAAAACTCACATGTTTGATTTGATAATCTTCTGTGTAGTATGCAACAAAAGGGTGGACGGTTGCTTGTGTATTTGTCCAGTGATAACCATGTACCTCATCTTGGACAACAAATGAATAGTTTTCAGAAAAGTCACAAACTACTAAAAATTCACCTTCCTTTAGGTCACTCTTTTTGCTGCTCTGGAAAATGGATTGTTGTGTTGCAATGAAAGAGTGTCGTTTAAGTTGGTCAAGTTTTTCAATTAACAAATCGATGAACTCTTCTGAAGATGATGTAATAGTTTCCAATGAAGTTCGATCAACTGTTATCCATTTTTTGTAAGACACTTGGTCTTTATTCTTGGCATCAAAAGTGTCTCTGAAAAAATCTGGCAATGTTTCAGTTTTTGGATAAAAGTTACAATCACTGAAATAGCAGCTGGGCGAAGGAGGATTACACATCACTCTAGCAATACAGTGATTATATGTTATTTCTTCTTCAGCCAATTTTGATATCCTGCAACCATCGATCATTAACTTGAAGTTTTGGTGTATTGTACAGACCCAAACACTATGAGGGCCACTTCCACCTGCTAACAAGCAATTCTTAGGCATTAAATCTGAAAATTTTGAAAAACCAATCTTCACATTGGTTTACTCATCTTTGAATTCAGAGTAAATTTCTTGAGGTTACTTAGCACTAATCGCTTTTGTCCTTGTGTTTTTTTTTTTTTTGCCATTTAGCTAGTATGGTTACAAAATCTATTTTCCTGGCATTAGTCTGCTGATATCATCAGAACAGTAAACACTTTTGACTAAGTCACAGTTTTCTGATCAAGCAATTTTCAAGGTTTAGGGTTAGGATGAGATAATACTCCCTTTTCTTTTACCAATCCCTTAACTTTCTTAGCCATGTAGGCCTATGTGTGTGTAAGTCATCCTACACTCATCTCCATTCATACTTGGCTTAAAATACCTACATTGTATGGTCGCCATTTCATAAGAAAGTATAAAAAGTATAAGTATGCTTACTTCATATAACTTTCTTTTTTAATTAGGCTTATTATGCAGCTGTTTCAAGGTGTAGGCATAGTGAATGTTAACCCTCTTCTGATCAATGTATCTACATTACTCCTAAGTTTTAGTATTTAGGTGTGATCCCATGCCCGTCCCATAATGAAACTTACAGCATTTATGGTCAATAGTGTAAAGTACATCATACATTTTTTTTATAATTTTAAAAATACCATTTTTTTAAATACGGTACGTAACATTTTTCAAAACTTTTTTGAAAAATGGAATCTTTTAGAATATAGTCATGTTGCATATCAAATTAAAGCCCTAAACATCAGGAATAAAATGAGACCTTTCTGCCTTCTCTAGCATGAATAGAACTCAGTCTGTGAATTTTTCAAGATCTTCCCGCAAGTAAAAAAACGCCGATTTTGGATGTTTTTAAAAATTAATTATAAATAAACGGGAAGAGATAAAAATAAACAAAAAACAGTTTTCTGTTTGTATTTGTTAGAACTATAAGCATACCAAATTTCAAAGTAATCCAAGATGGTCAGGTTGAAAACTGATTTTTATTTGTTGATTTGATATGGAATGGCCCTTATGTAGGTCGGCTCGTCAGTGTATTATACAAATAAATGATTTTATGATTATTTGACGTAGGCATAAATTATATTACAAAGTAAGATCTTAACCTTCAATGTCTTGCAAATGTTCTATCTATGACTATGAACCAAATAAAAAAAAATATTTGACTGAATTGCTCATCCTGAGTTATTGGATTGGCATTTGCCTTATGAATGACTTAACTGAATTCATATATTACAGTGCAAGAGTCAGGTAATAAGTATACCTAACCTCAACACTTGTTACAGCAAGGATGACGGCTCGATCTAGCCGATGTCCCCATTTGGCCACTATGGGCCTCATGGCCTCCAACTACGCTGAAGTGTCCAAAGACGTAAGTACTGACAGAATTACAGTATGAAATAGAATAACATTGTTGTGGCAATTTACACAAATTAAATTTTTAATGGAACAAAAACACTCTTCTTGTTAAGCTTATTTAATGATTTCGGTATCACTGGCTAGAATTTGCCGTTAAGTTTTTTTTTTGCAATAAATGTATCCCTTTTAATATGGGTTTTTTGTTCTATATGTTAACTGGAGAAATAGTATAATCATAAACCAGAACTAAATTCCGACTCGGGAGTGTAGATTTGGGTGTGACCTCTTTGCACTTGATCTATATAGAGCTGCAATGATTTAACATCATGCTGCATATAACTTACAACACACAGAGTTGCACATGTTCTAAAACCAAAGGGACATCCTTGTCATAATCAGATTTCCTACTATTCTTTCTTCTTTACTCCGTTCACAAAATCTAGGTAGTTTAGGGGAGGAAATCTATCCCCTCCACATCTTGAACCTACCATTAAAACATAGCTCAACAGGTGAGATTTGTCAAAATGTCGATCAGCTACAACATATCAAGCAGATATAAGTGGTGGGGGAACTTCCTTTCAAACCGCCTAAATATTTTGAACAGAGTTATCCACAAGACTATGGACTGATAGGATCATAGTTAATTTAACACTCCTATAGAAATAAAATTTTGAGGTACTATAGAACTAGGATGTTATATAAATGCCATATTTTTTATAGAATGTAATCAAGGACTACATAACTTTGATAGAACATTAGTACAATCAAGAGTGTCATACGCAAGTTGACATAAAGTGATCGATAACAATTTGATTCTCTGACAATTTGACTCTCAGCCAAATTGCTTATTTAGTATTAGCTGGAAAGCAATTACTGAACTAAATATACTTATTGTATTGTACAAACATTTGTCGATGTAACAATATAACTTCCTCTAAAAATGTTTTTGCAAAATTTGTATCAATAATTCAACATGTTGCTTTGAAAATTACAACTTACAACTTGAAAAAAAAATTTAGGGTTAATTTTTTATAATCTTCCACTCAACTAAATCTTATCCTAAGTTGGTTATTGAGATAGTTGATGTAAAAATCTGCTTACCGCATGCTTATCTGACAAAAGTTATCTTCGTCTATTTATGTCAGAGATTGATGTATGTTTGCTCATTGTGTACTATCTGCCGTAACAGAAGTCTTTTCAATATAAAAATTATTCTATAAAACTTATGAGTTACATTTTATTTTTGAACAAATTTTCCAAGTGTTCAAAATTTATGTTTTTCGTGAATTTAAAAATAATTTTGGTTTTTAAAAACGATTCCACAGGTAGAAGGTTCTTTCAATTTTATTTGAAAACACATTTTCAAAACCACTAGCACTTAAACTCAGATAGTAATGTTGTTGGGCCTAACCACTAAATATGCCTTCCAAAAAGTTCACTAATACCAGAACTTGGATAATTTATGTAGGTAACCATTTGAGTTCCAAAGGCCTAAGGGGTAACGTAACCAAATCGTAACTTACATCGAGCATAGCTCAAGAAGCAAGTACAGGTGTTGAAGGGAGTAAAATTAGAACGTGAGATGGTTTTACCTGTGTAATTAGTGCGATAGGCTGTTAATTTTTACCAATAGCCGAATCGTAGAACGTTGCGTCTTCTCCCCTGGCCACGAGATAGATTAGCGGTTTGAATTTGGCCCACCTGATGTAAACTGTGGACGGTTCTAGTTCGAGGGTATGAGTGGATTTGTTGTGGATGTAACTAAAATCAGGAATTTCATGTTCTTTATACTTATTGTGTGTATAGGGCCTATTCCTGTGAAAGATTGCATAAGAATTTTGATTTTTGAGTTCATAAAATCATGGACAAACATAATGTGAGCTCAAATGGTTAAAATATACGATTTGACTGTGTAAATATATATGACTCATATTAAATTTACCTGTGTGTGTGTCTGTATGTGTGGATGTGTACAGAGCTTCGATTTTAATAAAACTTTGTATGTGGGTTACTAATCCATGGTATCTCCCTCTAGGCGTTTTTAAATTGTTTTTAAATTTGGATTTTCTCTGGTGATTTAGGCCGACCCATAAAAACAGATTAAAAAACAGCCCAAACTATTTTGATTCAAATTCAGTATGTTACAGCCCTTTTAACCCTAAACATAATGGTACAACCTCCATTGCTGTAAAAATTACGGTTCAAAAGCTATTGCAAATTATGTGATTTCCCGTTAAAACCCCCTTAAAATAACAAAAAAATCGGATTAAAAACTACCAATTTTTATTTAAATTTAATATGTTACAGACCCTTTACCCCTAAACATAATGGTACAACCTCCATTGCTGTAAAAAGTATGGTTCAAAAGCTATTGCAAATTATGTGATTTTCCCATAAAACCCCCTTAAATAAACTAAAAAATTGGATTAAAATAACTACTAATTTTGATTTAAATTTAGTATGTTATAGTAGTCCTTAAACGTTTTGTGTGTCATAGTCATTTAAATTCTAAACTAAACAGAATGGCAGAAATGCCATTTCTGTAAACATAACGATTCAAAAGTTATTGTAACTTATGTTATTTTCCTATAAAATAAAAAAAAATTGGATTCTTAGGAAAAAGCTAGTTTTGATTTAAAATGAATGATTTAAATGGTGATTGATATTTGGTGCCATAAATTTTGAACAAAGTGGTACAAATCCCATTTCTGTAAAAATTATGGTTCAAAAGTTATGGAATCTTTTGTGATTTCTCCCATAAAATATCTACGCTACTCCCATTGCTTACCGATGATAAGGGTCATTCACATGCTGATGGGAGAAAGTATGTGTCAGATTGCTGATAGGTACCGTTTATTTATGATTGTCGAATGTTTGTTGCAGCTACAGCAGTGCCACTCGTGTGAGGTGCGAGGGGCAAACCTGTGGCTGTGTCTGTACAGGGACTGTCTACGAGTGGGTTGTGGAGACTCGGGACAAGATCACAGCCAGTCACACTTCCAGGTAACCAACCATCACCTGTTACATTTAGAGTAATAATGGAAAGTCAGGGAAACACATATCAGATGGACACAAAGCTGTAGAACACCAAGTTCTTTGATTTCCTGACCTTGTCACCTTTCCTTGGAATCCTTCTCTTGGCTAAGTTGGACAGTATATAGCAACAAAAGTACAGAAGACACTACATATTTTGCACAAAATCTGCATTAATATGTTTAGTTAAGCCCTACAGTCCCAAGATACTTCCATATTTTTCCTTGACCACTCAACAGCCCTACTAATTTACCGTTATTATTGGTACCAATTTTTGTGAATTGAGGAATTTTGACACCTATTTCCAGTGCTTGATTTGCGGGGGGACAAGAGTTCCAGTACCTCTCTTTCGAAAAGATAAAGATATTGGCGTAAATAGGCACTCATCACATTAAATAGATTATAGTTCCGGAATCTCATATTTTACAAATGCACTGCCTACTTCTGTACCTACCTGATGTTTCAAGAAATAAATAAGCTTTGAAAATTGCTATTACAGAAACAGCCGCAGCACTGCGTACACCTGAACCTGTCCACCTTCCGTCTGTGGTGCTATGTGTGTGACGTGGAGGTGGTGATAGAGCCACCTGTCGGCCCCTGTAGTAGTAGACTACGCTACGGTGACTCACTGGACGAAGACTCGGACGACAACACTTGTGCTACTGACGACAACGCTAAACCCACTGGTCAGTTTTACTGTAAAGAGTTGATGGTCCGACACCTATGGGACCAGAATGGTGTTGAATTACAAAAATAATAGGCTACATCATTTTACATTTTAAAAGTAAGATTTGTTTCCATTTTCTCCCTGGCAATGCTACAATCTCGCGTATGTGCGGCAGTTGCCGTGGGTCAAGGCAGACCAAATGATGTAATTTCAAGCTTGCAGTTGTGCTTATACACTTGTTTGTAATGGGTGTGAAAATAAAAAAAACCACTGATTGTTGAATGAGAATAACATTTTAACCAAAAATTTCACTCCTGACACTCACATAATAACATGAATATGAGATCAGTTCAAATATTTATTTAGTGGTTAACATTTATATCAGATATTTATGGCCAAACATTTTGCTATGTATTTGTAAACTATTACCAACCTTAACGATAAATTATTTAGTACTTGAACGTCAAACTATTCGAATCCAAACCTCCCAATGTCCAAGCCAAATTAAGCCTTAGACTATCTGACCTGAAATGAAATTTCACCATCCGCACTCCATTAATTTTGGTTTTGAATCCTGAACCTTGCTGATCAAGTCTAAAAATCAAAAATTTTACAAAGTTTTCGTGGTTTTGAGATTTGTGATAGGTATCACAAGTGAGGAGGGTTCAAAGACAACCGGTACAGATTGTTTTACTGACAAATAATTTATTTCTGGATTTTTATTTATTGTCAGGGAGTCATTTGTGTTATCTGGTTAAACCAAAATAAAAGCAGAAACAGTAATTTATTTTATCAATGTTAGTTCAGCACAGACTAACACTGAAAAAAACAACCAAAGGCCTATTCCCAAAATATATTTGCTCACTATTAAATAAGCTTATGAGCACTTGGTGCGGTATTCTGAGTCAAATTCAATGAAGATTTTATTGTTAATTCGATTTTAATTAGCAATAGCACACATGTTTCAGGGCTTACTGGTTTGCAGAACATAGGAAACACATGTTACATGAACGCAGCTTTGCAAGCGCTCTCCAACACACCTCCGCTTACGAGGTAATGTGAGTTACAAAACCAAACTGACCCTAACCGATTAAAAATACTAGCCTAAATTTTGCACTTAGAAGTAGGCATTGTTGATGTATGGGATTTGTATTGTAAGGATGCAAATGTCCTTCCACAGCTAAAAGAACAATTAATGTTTAACTTGAGGTGTTAAATAGGATTCTCAAATATTTGGACTATCCTTTAAGAAAATTTCCTTTTTTAAGACTTACCAATTGTGTTGCCATCATGGTAGAAGATGATGTTACCGCTGAGAGATATTCAGGATTTTGCTGCGATTGTGAAGGACAGTGATAATGCTGTTGGTATAAATTTGAGCTGGCTAGTTTAAGATTTTGCTTTGCTGCTTTAATTTATTTTACCTTAAAAACACTCCATTTTTTAAAAATTACTTTGTGTAAGGTCTTAAAGACAGGATTTGTGTTGTATAATCAAAAAAATAAATAATCTAGAAAAATTGGGTAAAATTTTAAAAATGGTATCAAGAATCGATAAATTTTGGTACTGACACACTATTTAAACCAAAATTTGAAAACAAAACTCCTTGAGTTTCCTTTTGTGTAAGTCTGTCCTTGGTGGTTGTCTAGGTATTTCCTGGAGTGTGGGGCCGTAGTACTGGGAGGTAATGAGGCGGGTCGTAAGCCTCCCAACCTGAGCCGTTCTTACTTGCGTCTCATGCAAGACATGTGGCACAGGCGACGACTCGGCTACGTGGCTCCCAACGCCATACTCTACGGCATCAGAAATGTGAGTGTGAATGAAGCTAACACAAAATATTGTAACCATTAGAAAGGTTTTCATTTCTTGGTCCACAAATTCTAATGTGTTTTAGCTGTGTAGATTGGCTCGTAATGTTTTTTGTGGGAGAAGAGGGAATAGCTAATTGGACGTTTTGGCTTTTTGTAGCACCCTTATTAGCATTAGGCTTAACGATGTAACAACTACATTAACCCATTTATCTTATTTGCATTGGTCTCATCGTCACCTTTCCTAGGAATTTTAACCTTCTCTGGCCTTGAGCTGGACAATCTAGCCACAAACAAGTAGTGATAATTTTTAATTAAATTATTTTTCACATTTCCGCTCTTGACAACTGTATCATTCCAGGCCCACCCGATGTTCCGTGGATATCACCAGCACGACACGCAGGAGTTCTTGAGGTGCTTCATGGACCAACTCCACGAGGAACTCAAGGTCCCGTACATACAGCCTCCCATGCCACATAACACCAGGCATTCTTTTCAAGGTAACATAACATAATATTCAATATAACTAAGAATCACATTAAAACAGATTTTTGTTCATATATCACACAGAATGGAAAAGAATCCAATCTAGCACAGGAGGAATACAAAAAATTCACAAAATATATACAAAAGTTATTTCACTACCACTCTCGTGATTTGCACCAAGGAAAATTTTGGTGGTAAAGATTGATGCCTCTTGATCTGATTGATTGGAAATTATGTTAGTGACAGTGAAATATTCTAACTTATCTAGTTCTAGTGTAAAGCTGCTTGTATTTCTTGTTCCATAGTAGACACATTGCCTTTCAGGTAAGTCTGTTATCAAATCTAAATTCTTAAAGCTTCAGGTTAGCATTGGTAGGAACTTCTTTAAGGACTTTCCACTTATAAAAGGCTATTTTATATTTTGAAGACTTTAGCACCAGAATAATGATAGTTTAACCATTGTTTGTTTATTGCAGTGAGACGAGTATCAAGCCTAGACGAGCTGTCGGAAGAGGAAGGCGGGAGTGGAGTGGGGATGATGGAGGGGGAGGGTGGAGGAGCCAGCAGCCAGTCGGAGGGAGAGGAGTACGAGACTTGTGACTCTGGTGTGAGTGAACGTAGCTCACTCAGCGATGAGGGGAGCACCAAGCATGCGTGAGTCTTCTTCTTTCCTGACTAGATTTGTGGTGGTAAAATCAGTTTTGAGTTAAAATTTTATATTACCTTCGAGTAAACAAGTAGGAACTTAATTTTATACTTCTGGGTGGTAAAATACATTTTGAGGTTTTTTTTACTTTGCTAAAACCCAACCTAAGGTGGTGAGTTGGTGGCTCAGTAGGTAGCACGATAAACTGGCATCCGTGGCAATGATGTTGTTTTGTGTCCTGGTGCGTGCAATAAAACTGTATCTGTACAGTTCACGTTTCAGAATCACAACGTTCATATTCTTTATTTTATCAACGACTCTTTGGATTTCATCACATTTCTTTGAACTTAAACTGAAACCTCTACCCATATGGCTGTGATGGTCCATCAGCTGATTGTATTGTTGCAGAGGTCCCTTGTCCAGGTCTCCTTCGCCCACACAGGACATCCAGATGTCATCCTTGGCTCCTCACAACTTTCACACTTCACACGGTAATCAAATCAAATCAAAGTCTTTATATGTTGTTGTGCATCAGGTACATCGAAAGATCTGGTTCATTGACATAACTACTAGGCCTCAGAGCAATTTTTAATATTACATTTGTTTATGTCTCTGTAAGTGGAAGAGTCAAATACAGATATCTCGTAAATACAATATTGAATTAGATTTTGTGAGTTAGAGTTTGCAGAGGCCTACAACAGCATGCTTAGAAAATACTGTCCTATGCAAACTGCAATAAACGTGCTTGGATGACAAGGCCAAATGCATCTCAAATTTGCAAACCGTAAAGAATTACTACAAACTTTATCAAATTTTAATTGACCAAAAACAGCAACCATGCAGCGGCTGCTAACCTCAAAGAAATAACATTGTTAATGTTAATGTTTGTTATTGGTAATCCTATGTTGTTGCGGTGGCCACTAGTTTTGGTTCATAACGGAACCATCAAAGGCATCATATATTCAGGCATCATCAAAGTCAAAGTCAAAGATTTTTATTGTCTTTAAACACATGTGTGCAATTGACAAAGTCACAAGCATATAATGTATGTAAATAGCCTATTCTAAGTAAAAGGTACATTGAAAAATAGAATATTAATTTATAGATAAAAACAATAACAAAATATAAAAACACCAGGGAATGACATAACAAACAATTAATATAAAATCTAAACAATTATCCAATTTAAATTCTTAAAGTACTAATGTCACAAGCTAAAAATTCATCAACAGTATAAAAAATATGTTCTCTTAACCATATTTTAATCTTATTTTCAAACTGTTTTGAAGTTATATTCCACATGTTTTCTGGCAGTTTATTAAATAATTTAATTTTCATATAAACATGACTGTTTCTTGTTTTTTCCAACCTTACAGAGATTAAGTTAAGAAGATAGTTTTTCCTCGTTTGATAGCCATGTATTTCTTTTCTAACAGACAATTTACAAATAGAATTCTTAACATCCATCAGGCAGCAATATATGTACAAATTTGGAAGAGTCATTATTTTAAGCTCTTTGAATAAAGGAACACATGACTCCCTATCTGAAACATTTGTAATGACTCTTACAGCTCTTTTTTGCCACTTAAAAGCCTCTAATGCACTACACGAGTTGCCCCATAAAGTTATGCCATACTTTAAGTGAGAATGAAAAAAAGCATAATAGGCAGTTATCAGCATGTTTTTGGTTACACAATCTTTCAACTTTCTAAGAAGGTGAATTACTCTAGACAGTTTTCTACACAACTGCTCGACATGAGTTTCCCAACTTAACCTACTATCAAGATAAATACCTAACAACTTAACAGGTTTCACATCTTTATAAATAGAAAAGTCCAAAGAAAAGATAATTTGTTCAGTCTTTTTCTCATTAACAATTAAAAGATTAGAATGAAACCATTCCATTGCTATTTCTAAGGCTTGGTTCTCAGTTCTTATTAGATCATCTAGGTGTTTTTTACTGTTAAGAAGTGTGGTATCATCTGCATATAACACTGTGGCACAAGGAATATTTGAAGCAAAATCGTTCACAGCAATAATAAATAAAAGAGGTCCAAGGACTGATCCCTGAGGCACACCCATTAATATTGTTCTAAAGCCAGACTTATCACTGCCCTGTACCACCATTTGTTCTCTACCACTCAAGTATGATTTAAATAAATTAAGTTCTTTACCTCTGATACCATAGTGAAACAGTTTGTCTAGCAGTAGCTCATGATTCATGCAATCAAAAGCTTTAGTAAGATCTATGAGTAAGGCAGATGATAACAGCTTATTTTCTAAGTTTTCTAACACTTTTTCTATCACATTCTCTACTGCTTTTACTGTATTTTTACCTTGCATGAAACCATACTGTTCCTCACAAAACAAATTATTAGTCACAAAAAATGTATCAAGTTGAGCCTTAATACAGGATTCAAAAACTTTACTTACTATAGGAACCAGAGATATTGGTCGGTAACTAGATGGGCTCAACTTTTCACCCTTTTTATAGACTGGTATCACTTTTGTTACTTTTAGTGCTTGCGGATATATACCCTGTTCCAAGATCATATTAAACAGTAAAGTCAACGGTGTCACTATCACCTGACATATTTCCTTTAGAACTCTATTTGATAAACCATAGTAATCTTCACTACATGATGAACTTAAGCTAGTAACAACTTTAGTCACATCTTTACCTTCAATTGTTCGCCAAACCAGATATTTATTCAAATCTTTTTTTCTTTCAAGGACAAAATTATTTACTAATTCTACTGCCTTGTCATGGGATTTATTCTTATCACTAACAACATTTATACTACCGGTACTTAAAATATTAACAAAATAGTCATTAAAAGTATCTGAATCAATTAATACATTTTCTTGCTTAGTGACATTACAATTTGACTCAGTTTTTATTAAAGCCCACGCAGCTTTACATTTATTTGAGGAATTTAAAATGTACTTTTCATTTGCAACTTTCTTGCAATAGTTAACTTTGTGTTTGTACCTTTTTTTTACATCTATATATTCTTGTTTGAAGATATTTTCATTTTCTGTGCCCAAGCTATTTTTATATCTATCATAAAAAGCATTTACATACACTTTAAAGCTCTTCAATTCTGGTGTATACCATTTTAAGTCAGGCTTTTTTCTAGTTTTCACCTTAACTTCCTTAACCCTACAGCATTCATTATATGAATTTGTCAACAATAAATTAAAATGATTGAAAGCTATATTTACATCTCTTATACTACATAACTGCGTCCAGTCAATTTGGGACAATTTACTTTTTAAATTGAAAAGTGCTTCAGGTGTCAGTTCTCTGACTTTCTTAGTCAAAACATTGTTAGGTATCACACTTTCCACAGAAATTTCTTTAAATTGAGCATATACCCCCGCATGATCCGATAAATGAGGTTCTATTACACAACAAATTGTTTTCTTTCTATTAAAATTACTTACAATATTATCTATGCATTTCCCCCCCCTAGTCGGTTCCTCATTCAACCAATACATGTCAAAGGATCGCAATAAATTCAAAAATGATTCTCTTTCATGTGATTTTGACAAAATGTCTATATTAAAATCAGCTGAAATAATATGCTTCGACCCAGAAAATTTACCATATAAGTGTAACAAAAACGATTCAAATAGATTAAAAAACATACTAATATTAGAATCAGGAGTTCTATACAAAGTGGAAACAACTACATTATCATTAGGTAACAAAATGGCAGTAACTTCAAAAATGCTGTCACAATAGAATTGTTTCACATCTATAGCTTGAACCTCAATCCCATGCTTTACAAAAATAACACTTCCACCCCCTCTATTCAGTGAGTTATCCCTAGCACAAATATTACCCAAGTTGTACCCAGCAGGCATATACAAACGGGATTCTTCTTCAAACAACCAGTGCTCATTTCATCATCATGAGGACGAACATGGCTTCATGTCATTTTGTTAATCTGTTACACATAAAATTAACACATGACAGACATGACTAGAATAATTGATTAACCCTTTCAGTGCTGTGAAACGATATATTGTTGTTTTAAAAAATCTCTAAGGGATATAGAGAGGAAGTTTATTAAAAAAAAAAAATAGCAAAACGGCCATTGGTGACCTGCATGTTCATAGGATACACTAACAACCACTTAGCTAAAAGATTCGCCCAATTCGATGATTTCAAGGTGTATGTCTAAACCAAGGATTATGAACACCTCACTATGCCCCAGTGGTTGTGTAGTATATCGCTACAAACACACAGGTCACCAATTATTTGCCACACAGGACGGGATTCGAACCCGAGCAGACGAATGCCACCAGCCAAGTGACACACGCCCTAGCCTTCTCGGCTATCTGTGCTTGAAGACTGAGAAGTAAAAAACCGGTATTTAAGCTGCTGACGCCACCGATTGCGAACAGATAGCGCTACAGATGGTTGTTCAATGCGTTACTAGGTAGCAGCACCAGTTAGTCACGGACTATTTAGATGAAATGTTTTAGTTTAAACACAACAGTGATCATAAATGTATTCCTGAGACTTTGCTGCAAAACATTAGTTTCCCGAAAATGGCTATATTACTATAACCTCGTCCAACTAAATCAAGGTTAAATTCAATATTACATTGTAAACTATATGTCTTTTGATTTTATGAGATTTTGGTTTCAAATAATGCTATCAGAACATAAACATTTATAGGAAAACCAGGAAAATTACAACAAAAACTAAGTTTTATTTAATGTTTACTACAAATACCGGGATTTATCTTTCTTATATATTTTCTTATTGTGTTATTATTCAAAATTAGCCTAATTAATAAAATAGTGACAACATGACAGTTAAAATTCAACAACAGGTAGGTAATGGAATTAAAAGGTAAACAAAAAAGTCTTACGGAATATGAATTATTGGCCTAGCACTGAAAGGGTTAATAAAGATATTTATACCACTCATAGTCAGATTGTACTTTTTTTAGTCTGTAATTATAGTGTGTAATTGAATAGCTCTGCCGAGTAACATTGCTAGTGAAGTGAATATTATCCAGAAAACAACAAAATATTTTGGCCATGCCAATGGCTAACACGCCAGTTTCCCGCATATTCCATTGCTTGTAAGTGCTGCAAAAAATGTCCCACTTAGTAGAGGATTTTATTTCATCGTTGTTCTTTAAAAATCTCAATTTCATAAAATATGTTAGTAATTTCGGCGGAGATATTCAATTATTGGCTTATAATGAACTACCACAACGTAGTGGTATAGTGGTGATGAGAGTTGTACTTGCAGTGTCGCCTACGAGAGGGAGCCACCGTAGAAAGCAGCAGGTGAAGTACCGCAGCATCATCTCGGACGTGTTTGATGGCAAGTTGCTTAGCTCGGTGCAGTGTCTCACGTGCAACAGGATATCTACCAGGATGGAGACTTTTCAGGACCTATCGCTACCAATACCCAGCAAGGACCATCTCACCATGCTGCATCAGGGGTCTGTCAACATAGCCAAGTGTGCGGAACTCTACTCCACTGACCAGGTGTGGTGTGCTTTCAAGATTGATACAACAAACAATAGGTTATGTACCTTTTATAGTCAATTCACTCTCAATACAGTCCAAACTTGATAACGAACCTCAATGTAACAAATTCCTTGATGAAACGGGAATTTTTTAATCCCCTAGAACCCTCCATAAGACACCACAAAAAATATTACATTCTACAATGTATATTTCACCTCGAAAAACAAACCATAATATGAACCTTAATTTAATAATTTTTTTATGATTCAGGCCAATATAAGTCACCCTACTATTAGCTATCAATAAATATCCCTTGGCCATACACAATACACATCACAAACCTGTTAATTTAGTCTGTATAATTTTTCGCTTACAAAACTTGCAGCTCACAACCACGACGGTAAGATTTAATTTTGCAGGACTCGTTTAGAAACTGCATCAACATGTGAAGCTAGTGGCAGTGCCAAGTAGTACCTGAATGTCAGTGTAGAAACATTCTGAAAGACGTGCTAGGTTAAAATGTGTGTTACATTCAGGATAACCTTCATATGACTCGAGATATCTAAAATGTAAATTAGTGGTTTCTAGTGTATTTGTATGGTATGCAGGGTTGGCTGTCCTGGCTATGGGAGTGGGTCTGTAGTCTCTTCTGGGGCCCTACAGTGGGTCTACACGACTGTCTTGCTGCATTCTTCAGTGCAGACGAACTCAAGGGCGATAATATGTACAGGTAATTTTTCGATCACATCCCATTCAATTATTTAAATTGAAAATTGTACTTTTAAACATACAAAAAATTTTCTTATAGTGTTTGCAAGTTAAAGAATGCCATTGTGCTTGATTTAAGCTAAACAAGTTGGTCAAAATTGTCCCGACAGAACGAAAGAACTGATTGATCAGACTCATTTATCTTTCAATGTGGAAATAACTAAAATACAAATTACTATAAAGGAAAACATAGGGGTTAAAATTATTTTGAAAGGCATTTGAGTCCAGCTAGCTTACATAGAAAAATAGATACACTAATAAAGGATCAATGAGGGTTTGTTCGAACATAGAACTTCTTCAGAGAATATATTGTAGAGAAATGTCAGTAACAGTATCAGATTCATAGTGATGAACTATCAGCGTTTCGATCATGAATTTTGATCAGCATTTGATGTGATCTTGTTAATCTTTTCAAATTATTAGCCCCTGGACTCTACCGTTTAGGTAAGCTAGCTAAACTCTTATCATTTTTTTTAAACAATTCCTAATTGATATTTTTAAAAGATTATCATTTTAAGTAATATCAAACCACCTGTGTGCTAACACTTGTTGTAAATTGTGCACCAATCTGTATTTTTGCCTAACATCAATCTTTCCCTAACAGTTGTGAGAAGTGTAACAAGCTGCGTAACGGAGTCAAGTTCTCCAAGGTGCTGGAGCTGCCGGAGGTGTTGTGTATTCATCTGAAGAGGTTCCGTCATGAGCTCATGTTCTCCTCTAAGATCAACAACTATGTTACATTCCCTCTAGAAGACTTGGATCTCAAACCTTACCTGCATAAAGGTTTGTAGGAGCCGACAGATGAATTTGTCAATTATTTCTGTAGCAGTTATATTTAGCGTTGCTAGCCTAGCAGCGTCTCAGACTTTGGTGCCGCAGGGACGAGTACAATCGTGGCACATTGATCCATAAACATTTTGAAGTGTTTTATTTCCCTTAAAAGTGTTAAAAATAAATTATGAGTATGTTTTCATTTGTTATGGTAGGATGCAGCCGGAGTAGTTGTTAGGGGCAAGATGTTTTAACGTAGAAGATTGAGTTTATATCATGCCAGTCACCAATGACAATATCCTATCTCCTCTGCACTCTGTAGTGTCACCCTTAAAGCTATCACTCCACCTGCATAAGAAAAAAGGTTAAGTGAAAAATGTTCTTCCTTAAAAAAGAGTTTAAAATTTGATAGTCGTTTATCAAGTTTTAAATAAATGTATTTAACTCACTGAGTCATAATTGTAAATTCTACTACATCCTTGTTACTTCATTTTGGGTACTGACTTTAAATTTGGAAAGAACAAAAAAACACTTTGTCTTTGCAGATTGTAAGTCTAAAGTGACGACATACAACCTGATCTCTGTGATATGTCATCACGGCGCGGCCGGCAGCGGTGGTCACTACACGTGCTACTCTCTCAATGAACAGTATAACCAGTGGTACGAGTTTGACGACCAGTGCGTCACCCTAGTAAGGCCAGAGACCGTCAGGAACTGTGAGGCATACGTGCTTTTCTACAGGTTTGTGTTTCAAAATGACATAATACAATTGTTAAATTTAACATTTTTATTTTCTACCCCTATACATAGTATATGGAGAAAGTATTGTTTTCATCAACATATTCGAGTTTCAGTTAAAGTGGATATATCCGTGTTGGGTCACCCTGAACCCAAAAAAGTGGTTTTCAAAGTGATGTTTGTGTGTGTGGGATGTGTAGAGAGCTACAGACCACTCCTGTAGTCTGATTTTTATGTAGTGTTGTATGTAGGTACTAAATCCATAGTATCTCCAGGATTTTTTTTAATTTTTTTGAAATTTTAATTTTTAACAGTGATTTTCTCATATAAACCCATAAAATAATGGAAAAATAGGATTTTCTTAAAAATGGCCCAAACGATTTTGATATCATGTTTGTATGTTATAGTCCTTTAAATTCTAAACAAAATGGTAGAAATCTCATTTCTGTAAAAACTACGGTTCAAAAGTTATTGTAACTTGTGTGATTTTCCCTATAAAATATCATAGTTACTCTCACAGCTTACCCATGATACAGGTTGTTGACAAGCTAATGAGAGAAAGTATGTGTCAGATTGCTGATATCGTTCATGTAATTAATGATTTTAATTTGTTGTAATCAGCTGTGAGTTGCTTATCTGTTGGATATCAGAAATATTAATTTGTCATTGATCATGTTACAAAATGGCTCTGTTATCCAATAGTCAACCCTAATACTTTAAAACAACATTTACACATAACAACAATCATAAACTTCTGCAATACTAACAATAAAAATTAATGCCTTAGCTAATTGAAATACAAATTTATCAAATATCACAAGGCAGTCTACAAATTTAGTTAGGCTATAGGCCTACAATAAAATGGATTTTTTACCAATCAGGATGTTATTGAAAACATGAACTACATCAGTTCTAGCATCAAAGGAGCCTATTAAAAACCTTTTCCAGTTAATTTTTTTTTAAGTGATCCAGTTTTGGCTAATCTGAATATTGGTAAATGAAGTCCCACCTTCCCTCTTGTGTTGTGGTTTAGTTTGCTCTCTTTTATGAGAACTTCTTACAGGTTAATTTTAAATGCACTAATGAGCAGAAAATTTAAAAATTAACAACAATGAGATTTTAAAGTACCATAAACAACGGACAACAGTATTAACCTAACAGTCAAACAGGTTTTAAAATTATTATATTGAAAGTAATATGTGCATCAGTGTTGCACAAGAAATAATTAAAACCTTTATTTACAAAAAGCATAGGTTTTTGTTTTGGTAATTTTACTATTTATTTGCAATTTATAATGAAAATGTGGTTATTTTCATACTTCTGTAAAGTACAAATAATTGCGTACTGCAGGAAGGCCAGTCGAGAAATGAGTGAACAACGAGATCACATACTACAGCTGTACAAGAAGACGTCGTCCATGGAGGACATGTACGTGGTGTCCAAGGCTTGGCTCACAAGGTTCTACACTTTCACGGAGCCTGGTCCCATAGACAACACAGATCTGTTGTGTCGTCATAACCACTTACTGTCCGGACGTGACCATTACCTCTCCACCATGTTGACCTACGTGCCTGCCAGCGTATGGCACCACCTCTATAACATGTAAGTACAGTCAAACCTCGATAACAAGTCACCCGTGATAACAAGGGTCATTTTCAAATCCCCTTGATATTATTTTACCCCTAATCACATGTTATTGCAAACCTCGATAAGAAGTCAAACTTGATAACAAGTCTAATTTTATAATCCCTATGAGAGTCTTGTTATCAAGGTTCTACTGTAAACAGTAACAGTAAGGATGGGTCGGTTTTTGGAGACGTATGTCAGTTTTACTGGTTTTTAGCAAATAGCACAAAAACTGAAAATTTATGAAAATGTCAGATTTTGGTTTGTTGGTTGTTATGTTATACAATCATTTCAATTTCGGGTTTATATGTCCTACGAGGGGTTTTGAGATTTTGCAGTGATCGCTGAGATGTCTAGGCATTATGGGGGATGTTCGAAGCTTTGCCACACATAGGGAGGTGATCGTGATAGTCCTGCAATTACGGTTGACAGCTATTATGACATTGTAACTAACTTCTATTACAGGAATAAAATACCCCCGCCGCAGCAAACCTGCAGACTAAGCGAATTTCCATTTGACTGATTGGATTTACACTGAAATGTCTACTTAAAAATATAACATTTATTCCCGATTTAAATAGAATTAGTTTAACAAGTACTTAGGTTTGCTGCATCAGGGAGGGTAAAACTGTTTTTTTTTTTCGTAAAATGTTAATAGTTAGTAAGAAATAAAAACATTTTCCAAATTTGATCAAAATATGTTCATAAACAAGCAAACTACAACAGGTTACTCATTCTCCATAAGAATAACATGGGAATTTTAAATTTAAAATTTTTTTGAATTTTCTCTGTAACCATTAGGCGCATAATAACGCTTCAATATACTAAATTATTTGTTTTTTGAAGCTCTACAAAATGGTTTGGAAATTAATTGCTAAATTTTATGTTTTTTGGGTCAAAATTGGGAAAAACCTATTTTTACCCCATAAAACCCCCCGTAAACACCCGTTCCCATGGTCCGATCATGCTGGATCGCGAACTCGTTCGAATAGACGTAGGTTTACACGTTTGTACCAAATTTCATCAAAATCGGATCATTTTTGCTCGAGTTATCGTGCTGACGGACACATATATATATATATATATATATATATAAATATATATATATATATATATGAATTTGAACGGATGGTGTTTTTGGCCTCTAGGGACCTCAAAACGAAAAAAAAAATCGGTCCCGCGTCCAGGTCTTACCATGAGTACTACGGTAATAGCTTATTCCCTATATGGGAAATTCGCTAAAATAAGAAATTTATATTGTTTAAAGGATTATTGCATGCATTTTCAATTAGTTTTTAGTGAATAATTTACCTGCAATAATAACTTTGGCAACATAAATCTACCATCTCCATCAGAAGATCGCCGGTTTAATCTGGAGAACAGTCCGAATTTTTTTATGGTTAGAAACTGATCAGCTGTTCGTTATATAATATCCCTCTAGTTTCAAGTAAGCAAATGTGAATGTAAATTATCTAGTTCCTTAGAAAAGAAAAATATATGTTTTTAGTAAAGATTAAGAACATGTTTGTTTTGTCAGCTATGGGGGAGGACCCACCTGTGCCAAGGAGCAGTTGAGGCAATGTACAGTCTGTGTGCAAGAGACTGGACATCGACCTGACATTGAGTTGAGGGAATTTACTAGGCTGGGACAGGTAAGCAATTACTCGGACCAACAGTAAATCAGACCATTAATCAATAAGGTTATCAAATTAGGTCATTAGTCAATCACAACAATCAATCAATCAATCAATTAATAGGACACCACTATGTGCGTATTTTAACCCAAATATGAGTGAAGAATGAGTGTAGGATGAAAGGCACGATCTTGAAGTCTTGTTAGTGACTAAGGCTGACATGTTCCTTAGACACGGCTGTTAATTATTAGCCCATACAGCCAATAGCAACTGAGGGACCTACAGTTTATAGTGGAATCCGAACCACAATCAATCAACCAGACCATCTATCAATCAGGATATCAAACAATCAGTCAGTTAGACCGTCAATTAATCAATCAGGACATCAGTCAGTCAGAGCGTCAGACAATCAATCAATCAAATTATAACAATCACGCAATAGACATGGTCAATGTAACACAGTATGTTAACAAAGGGTTACACAGTAACCCAGTTAGGTATAAGTTAATAAACTAATAACACAGACTTTAAGTTAAAAGGTAAACATTAAAAAGTTTAAAAAGTAGGCTATAGGTTAAGTGGATTATACTGGATTTACTTTGTCAAATGAGTCTATAAACATACCTTTAATAAAGAAAGAAACCTCCATACAAGTCTAATCCGACTACTTGTTGATTTGTTTCAGGTTCAGTCGACAGGCCATTACTTCGCCATCGCCATTGGTTGGTATTCCCAGTGGGAGAACTATGTGAAAGGCCAAACTTCGGAAGCTCCAGGACCCATTGATAACTCTCCTCTTACCACCTACGACCCTAGCCTTACTCTTGGTGAGCCAACCAGTCTTTAGTGGTTATTCATGTGGACCGCTTAGTGTCAAAATGTATTATTTGCTGTAGCTAAATCAGTGTGACTATTAAAAAATTAGCTTTACAAGATTTACTAAATAATAACAATCCGTAACAATTTGACTACTAACATTTATGGTATGAGTAATAAAATATAATGCAGTACTTTTCAGTTAAAAACCAGCCTTTGAAAAAGTATGCAAAAAATGTGAATCCTGATATCGCAAACAGTAACTACTTTTGGCTTCTGAAAATTGTCAATTTGGCTTGGGGATTTAAAAAAAAACTTTAAAATTCAAATCAATTCAAAATTTAAAACTCATGCCAAATTTCATCAAAATCAGTCCAAAATTACTTGACATCCGCGACACAGACATATTTACATTTTAACAAACAGTGTTTTGGGCCTTCATAATGTAAAACCGTGCCAACTACGGTAATAGCTTCCCTATAGGAAAATTTGCTAAAAGAAAGAGAAAAATATCCCAACTACCATTCTCTTTGAAATGTGTTTACTTTCTTAACGACTTACAGAATTCACTGTTTCATGTTACAGATAAGGACTATGTACATGTGACTGTTGACCAGTGGGCTCTTCTACACAGGATATACGAGGGAGGCCCTGAAGTTCGGGTACAAGAACCCCAAGCTGCACCTGCTCTACCGTAAGTTACGTCGGTTTTCACACATAAGCTGCATTTTCTAACTCCTCATTTAGTATGCAGCATACAGTGCAATGTGGTGCGGAGCGTATTCAACGGCATAAGAGTTCAATTTTGCTGATTTCCTTGTACTTCTGCTTTCCCAGTCCGCTTTGCGCAACTTACTCACTTTGTGTGTGGACACCAGAGAGCAATTGAAGTGTATTAAGGAGTCGCTTGAGTGGTAGTGTGTAATTTTTCTGTTCAGTTTATCCGGCTTGGCAGTGATAACCTATTTCTGTGGGTCATGGTCAAAAGGAATTTTTTAAATCATATTTTCATATTTTTAAATTTACAAATTTCAATTTTTTGTCATCTAGCAAATGTCTTTGAATTAAAATGTTCTTCCTTGAACAAACAATACGTTCTTGCTCACTGGAGGTCCATATTACGGAATCAATTAGTTTGCATCTAAACTCTAAATCTTTTTAATTGCTGACTGACAATAAAGTCTGACTCGTATTCATCCACTTCCTGTTCTAATTACTGATAGTTATTTCTCACTTGAAGGACGAGAACCAATGTTTACTAACTTATTTGTTGCAAAGCTAGTGGAAATTATAGTATTGTGTCAAGACCAAATGAGGAGCTAAGAAAAGCCAGCTTTTTAAGATTTTGTTACTCACCACAAAAATTGTAAATATTGCTATTAAGAGTTCAGTAGAAACCTACTCAACCCTCATCATGGGAGCAAAATAAATATGTGCCTGACATTTAAAGGAGATTTATTCTCTTGTGTTGAGAAAAGTCACGATTCATGGTTAATTAATTTAGTAGCTTTCCGATTCAATACACTGTAAAACTATAAATGAACTATCAAAATGTCAAAATATTCTGAAAGTTCGTGTTCTCTTTTCATCCGATTCAAATTTGCCATTAATTCTATTAGGGCTAATGAAGATCCTCCCAATACAATGGAAAGAACCTCTACATTTGAAGAGACGTTCAACATGAATGAATCTATAGATGAAGAGTGTTTTAACATCAGTATGAAAATTAATCAACACCCTTTGCGAAAACTAAAGAAGATTGTAGCTCGGAGGAAAAGGAGAAAATATTGGCTTAACACCAAACGAACTACTCTTAAAAAACAAGGCAGAGTATATCCAGTGTAGTTAACCAGCCTGGAGTGCTTTCTGTGAGCTTTAAACTAACAAGCACTGTCCCTACTGCTTTTGGGTCAAGCTTAGATGTTTTTACTTTCTCCCCCTAGACATAAGTATATGGAAAAAGTATTGTTTTCGTCAAAATGTTTGAGTTTTGAGTGGATATACCCGTTTTGGGTTCCCCTGAACCCAAAAAAGATGTTTTCAAAGTGGTGTCTGTGTGTGTATGGATGTGTACAGAGCTACAGACCGATGCCTGTAATCCGATTTTGATGAAATTTGGTGTGTATGTACTAATCCATGGTATCTCCAGGTGTTTTTTTTTTCATTTTTTCAAAAATTTTATTTTAATGGCGATTTTCCTATAAAAACCAAAAAATAACGAGAAAATCGGATTTTCTCAAAAATGGCCCGAACGATTTTGATAAAAATTTAGTATGTCGTTTAAATTCTGAACAAAATGGTACAAATCCCGTTTTCGTAAAAATTCCAGGTACTTCAGTATTAAACGGAGGCCACATTTTGTCAGCGCGCTGCGGCGGTTATGTTAGGTTGGGTTATCGTAAATATTATGTATGTAGGACTTTCCTCGCTTCGTTATGAATCGAACGATACTTTCTATTATGATAACCCAACCTAACTTAACCGCCGCAGCGCGCTGACAAAATGTGGCCTCCGTTTAATACTGAAGTACCAAATTCCATTCCAAAGCTTCGTAACTTATGTTAATTTCCCATAAAAAAGTAAAGACGGATTTTAGAAAAAAAGCTGGTTTAGATTAAAGTTTAGTATGTTAATTTCCTTTAAATATTGAACAAAATCGTACAGATCCCATATCTGTAAAAATTACTGTTCAAAAGTTATTTTAAATTATGTTATGGTCCTTAAAATTGTTAGCGTTTTTTTCATTTTTAAATATTATTATTTTTAATTGTGATGTTTCTATAGAAACCCATGAAACAACGGAAAAATCAGATTTTCTCAAAAATGCCCTTAACAATTTTGATGAAAATTAAGTAGGCCTATGTTATATAGTCGTTTAAATTCTGAACAAAATGGTACAAATCCCATTTCTTTAAAAATTACAATCAAAAATTATTGTAACTTATATAAATTTTCCATAAAAATCCCATAAAAAACTAAAATTGGATTTTATAAAAAAAAACCCCGTTAGATTAAAGTTGAGTATGTTAATGGCCCTTTAAATATTGAACAATATGGTACAGATGCCATTTCCGTTAAAAATTAAATTACGGTTCAAAAGTTATGTTAACCTATGTTATTTTCCTTTAAAAACCCCCATAAAATAAAAAGTTTGATTTTGGGAAAAAAGCAGGTTTTGATTAAAATCTTTGTGTTATGGTCCTTATAATTCTAAACAAATTGTGCAACCCCCCATTGCTGTAACAATTACGGTTCAAAAGTTGTTACAACTTTTGTGATTTATCCCTATAGAATATCATAGTTACTCCCACCTCTTACCCATGATAAAGGTTTTTGACAAGCTTATGGGAGAAAGTATGTGTCAGTTTGCTGATGCCGTTTGTTTTCAATTCATACATAAGATATAAAAAAAAAAATACTTTAAGAAATCTAACAAGCACTGTCTTTACTGCTTTTGAGTTTTGCCTAGATGTTTCACATACATACATATGATGTATGGAATCAAATAAAAATACTTGAAGAAATCTAACTAGCACTGTTCTAACTGCTTTTGGGTTTTGCAGAAATCCAACAAGCACTGTACTCACTTTTGGAGTTGGCCTTGATGTTTTATTAATACATGCATAATCATAAGGTGTGGTATGAAACTAGCTGTTCACAAAACTTTGTGTAGTTATCTGGGAATTGGAAGGTAAAATGTGAAATACACAAACCTATATTTCAATTTCTTTAAGACAAAAATTGAATGTGTTTACTAGTACAATGGTTGTGCAATACTATTTTGAAAGTTAAAAAGATATGTTGATGCATTTTGAGAAAACTCTAACCAATCCTGCTCCAAATGGGACCAGGGCCAGATTGGTGTTTATCTTGTGTGAAAATCATTGGTACAATAAGAGATTCTAAAATTATATTTTACCAAGGCTAAAAGCTATTTTTGAAAACACTCCTTACCTCCTGATATCCTTATTGCTACACAAACGTTTGAACTAGAGGTGTGCAAGACGCATTCTGGGACCATGATAGGAAAAGGTGGCTTGAGCTTGATTTATTGACAGGTTGCTCAAATTTATTCGGCTATTCTAACTTTTACACTAGGCTTAGCTCAACTATATAATCAAGCCACTCTCACATCTCTATTTTAAACATTAGCTTAGAAACAAGTACACAAGAAGAAAATTTGAAGAATTTAGGTTTTTTGCTCATAGAACAAGTTTTCTTAAAGACCAATTTATTTTTAGCGAATTTCCCTATAGGGAAGTAGCTATTACCGTAGGTCTCATGGTAAGACCTAGGCCCGGGACCGATTTACTTTTTCATTTTGATGTCCCCAGAGGCCAAAAACACCATTCGTTCAAATTTTTATATATCTATATATAGAGATATATATATATATATATATATATGTGTCCATCCGCACGATAACTTGAGTAATTTTTGTCCGATTTTGATCAAATTTGGTTTGAAGGTGTAAGGCGGGATAAACTTGAACGAGTTCGCGAACCAGCATGATCGGACTATGGGAACGGGGGTTTACGGGGGGTTTTATGGGGTAAAAATAGGTTTTTCCCATTTTTTACCCAAAAAACATAAAATTTAGCAATTTCTTTCCAAACCATTTTGTAGAGCTTAAAAAAACAAATAATTTAGTATATTGAAGTGTTACTATGCGCCTAATGGTTACGGAGAAAATTCCAAAAACATTTAAATTTTAAATTCCCATGTTATTCTTATGGAGAACAAGTAAACTGTTGTAGTTTGCTTGTTTATGAACATATTTTGATCAAATTTGGAAAATATTTTTATTTCTTACTAACTATTAACATTTTACAAAAAAAATAAGTTTTACCCTCCCTGATGCAGCAAACCTAAGTACCTGTTAAACTAATTCTATTTAAATAGGAAATAAATGTTAAATTTTTAAGTAGACATTTTAGTGTAAATCCAATCAGGCAAATGGAAATTCGCTTAGTCTGCAGGTTTGCTGCGGCGGGGGTATTTCATAACAGAATGACTGGTTCCTATTATGCTTGGTAAAAAAAATATATATATAAATTTCAACGCTTATTTAAAATTGAGGTTTCATACCGCATAGAAGTTTTAGCTATTTAAGGTATCATAGTCCATTTATTGTTTATCGTTCATTTTCTTGAGTCTTGGCCTCTAGATTCTATTTAAATTTGAAACATTGGCGTAAATACCTGTATTTATTAAATGTAATAAATGTTGCTATAGGAAACTAGTTTTGATTAACCTAATTAGTCAGATTCTAAACTATGTCCTGTTGCTTCATTCAAAGGTCGTCTATACTAATAATAATTAGTTAAACAACACACACTTAACTCGGATTCGTGTTGATGACCTTTAAATTGAGAGAGACAGGTCATCTTTTACTGAGCTTTTACAAGTAGGATGCTCATGTGCAAAAGAATCCTTCCCCACCATCATCATATACATTGTATCATATATATTGTGATTAATGTTTTTCCATTTGTTATTTTTATTTGTCATCTCTACAATCATATACTGTTGAATGAATGAGAATTTTATTTGCCATTCAATATTCCATACAAATACATTGTCACGTCAAATTAGTCATAACAATAACAACATTAATTAAAATCCAGTGGAGTCAGTGTCCTTGACATATAATCTTCTGTTGAGTATAACGGCTGATTACAAAGAAAGTTATTTATTTTAATCTTGAAATCCTTATCACTAAGTAATCTTATGGCTAGTGGTAACTTGTTATAAAATTTACTGCTTAAAATTAATGGTCTTTAGGATCGATTTAATACCACTAGTGTCTGGGTGGTGTGGCTCTCTGCGGCAGCTGTTTCCTCATCCCTCCTCACACGCCATTCTGATTGACACGACCTAGTCTTAGACCAATTGTTTTATCATTCGTTGCATGTCACAATATCGTTGTTGTTATGTTACAGACCTGCGGCAGACTGGAGTCATCCTCAAGAGATGCAGACGGAGAGAGGCGATGGCTTCAGACATTCTGGTAATCAGTCATTTTATGCCAACTCGTAGACAAAGCTTAGCAACGACTTGGTGCAAGGAAACGTGTCAAAATCAACAAAACACTACTGATGTTTAAGTTTCGATGTAGCAAATCTTCAGGGTTACTAGACTACTGCCAAGTTAAGCAAGTGACTTGCTATGTATATTCTAAGACTTCCAACGTCAACTGTGCGGAAGTCAAGTAGACCTGAAAATGGTACTTTGCATTAACGCTGAAACGTTACTGAATAGTAGTGTTTTGTTGATTTTACACAATTTTTGCCCAAATACCATAAATCTACAATAAGTGACCGTGGAAGCCTATCCAGAGAGATCAAAGTGTATCTAACGAAGTAAATTATATTTTATCTAACCCTGATTTCCCTCAGAATAACCGCCTCAGAATGAGCCAAAATTGGACAGTTTATCCGCTCCGAGTTTCGTTGTTGGTTGGATTAACTGGTTTAAAATCTCGAGACTTCTGTCCCCACCTTTATCGCAGTAATAAAATATAATTATGTCTGAGCTGGTCTAGTTTTGTTATGAACCTGACTTTTTCATGTAAATTTTAGAGTGTGATCGTACATAATAATTGGAAAATTAGTTGGACAACGGGAATTGTCTGTTGTGGCTCGGCTTGGCCTATGATATGTAATGTAACAGACATTTACAGCCTTTGAATACCAAACATTAATTAACACAAAAAAACTGGTTTTCTAAAACAGCCTTGACCGCTTTATTTAGGTTAGTTGGTAATTTACTGAAGGTAATACATTTATTTTATCTCTATATTCTACAGTAATTCATATATTAATGAAGTTGACCCTTTTTATTGACCCTTACAAAAACAGGTCTACATCAGATAACCTAAAAGGAACCTATGCTAATTTTGTTGTAGATTAGGTTTGTGATTCTTGTGGCACAGTGGACACTTTCCCAGTCAGTTAACCTCACAAAAATCCTTGAACCGATAGACCCTGTGCTCTATGTTGCAACCTCAGGCACAAAACTTTTAACCATTTCCCCTAGACCTGATGTAGCCAGTTAAGAGCGAGGTTACTCTATGGTTCATGTCAGAAGTTACCAATCAGCTGTTTGTTCCAGAGTCACAGATGATCCAGCTCAGCGGAGCCCCCAAAGAGGAGATTGTCCGCTCCGTCTCTCTCTCCGATGTTCGCATCTCCGGAGACGGAGAGCCCCAGACTATGTGTTGACTCACTCTCCTCCCCCTCAACAAGATACCATGATTCTAGACTGATATTTATTGGAGTTCACATTAATTGTAAGCTTTAAAAATTGTGAATAATGAACCATAAAAATTACACAGTGTTGACTGATATATTTTTATTTTGGCTTTTAATATTGTTCGCACGAACAGCTTTGAGTATTTCTTAAGTCTAAGCATGTTGTCTCATGTAAGTCACTTGGTTGTCTCGAGTGTACTGTTCTAAACCAAATACATTCTTCTAGATTTATTTGTGTATTTTAAATATATTTAATAATGTATTGAATCGTGCTGGTTTTGGAAATGTAACTTCACGGTTTTGTTATTGTTATTAATTGTGTAGTATTTCTAAATCATAAATAAACTATATTTTTGTTTGTTTTTCAAATATATACCGTTGTTCAATGTTTTGTAATCCTTTGTAATTTTTTTACTGTGTACTTGTGTTCTATCGGGTAAAATGTTTACCGTGCCTCGTAACAATAAAAAAAAGTTATTCCCTCTGTTACATTATAAATGTGTTTTAGCTCATTCCCTTCTGTAGAGAATATATGAGCATTTATTTAATACAAATTTGTTTACAGTAGAACCCTCATATTCAACTATGACGGGATTGAGCCATGGTCTGAACGACCAAAATTTTGGATACTGGGAGGAGCATAACTGCATGAGCGATACTGCAATCGTCGACATTGGTAAACGTCACACGACCGTGGTGGGACCCGTGAGCACATCTTGTGGTCTCGGCAACAGCATTTATCGTCTGCCGCAATTACGGCAACCCCTGTGATATGTCTTTTGTTCAACAGAACGTGCTAGTCATTATCATTCTAGAAAAAAAAACAAGTACACCAGGCCACTTAGGCACCCACCACCCCACACACTTAGGCACTCAGGCACTTAGTCGTACACTAGGCCGGATATTCTGAGGAGTCGGTTATGCCAAGGTCGGATATGAGAAGTTCTACTGTAAAAAACAATGATAAAATACTTTTTCCTACAGTCACCCGACAAAGTTGGCTTCCTTGTACTGTTTATAGAACAGAAAGCTGCTAATTGCTGCATATTTATACTTTGCCGTACGGTTTATACTTTGTCGTACGGTTTATGTTTTGTCGCACATCAGGATTCCAACGAAACAACACAAAACAGCGTGGTTCTATTATGCACGTAATCCGTGTACGCTTGGAAATAGGTTGGCAACACTTAAAGATAGTAATACTATGAGCAGCTGATTGACTATTATAACTACAATTTAACCTGTCATTTCGTGTTTAGAGTTTCGGTATTTCTGAACTTTCTGGACTTTTCTTTTAAAAGTTTTTAAAACATTCCTACGATCTAAACAAGAAAATACCTTTAAAGCATTTTTTTAGGCGCGGAAACCACTTCAAATTACAAAAACATGGAAATATATTCTCAAAACGCAGAGCACATTTCTTGCCGAGGAAAAATAGCGGAGTGATACGTACCGGGTACTACTTTCTCTAGGGCACCTATTTGTGTTGCCAGCTGAACCTAAAAACGTGTTGTATAGTGTTTGAAAGACTAATTATTTATATGCTTTATAGTGACTACGAAAAATATAATGTGTAACACGAGTGCAAAAGGCCTTTGCTGCACTGGAGATCATTCCACACTCGCCTGCGGCTCGTACGTAAACATTGCTCTCGCGTGCAGCAAAGTGCCACTTTACCCACTAGTTACACAAATAACTATTTCGTACGACCGTTTTATAAAGTAGCCATTCCAGTACAGTTCTTAGAATTGAAAAGTTTCACTTAACAGCTGTTTACTTTCATAACAGCATAGTTTCATTTCATAACGGCATAGTTTTTCTCATAACAACACGGGTAACGAACCAATGAGGTTCAAGGATTGAGAGAAAAGAAGTACAGTAATACTTCGAACGTCAACTAATCAGCTGATCAGTTAACAATTTTAATTGTTGGTCCGGCTTGTTCCTGTTGATACTCGCGTATTCTTAACCTAAGTTGATGGAAGTTAAATGAAGGTTGATTTTAAAATATCAGTTAGTGAAAGTGAATTTTCTTCTTCTCGTACCTTAAATGTTAACGAGATGGAAATGAGAGCACAAACTGTTTGTGCTAATCTTTTGTCCCCAAAATCAAAAGAAAGGTATGCAATTACATACCAGCAATTCATTAAATGGACAAAACAAAATAAGGTTAAATTGATAAATGAAAATTTTCTGGTTTATTTTGAAAACCTCTTAACCACTTTTTCACCCAACTCGTTTTGGACCACATATTCGATGCTGTGATCTAACCGTAAATTAACTGTTTCACTATATTATTCAGTTGTCCAAAAATGTATGCAATATTTCCCTAATTGTACCTGATACAGTATTTATGGTAAGAACGCTGCTAGCAGAACCTATTCCTTGAAAAAGTAACGTATTATTTAACAAAGTTCTACAAACACGTAATTACATGAAATCAGCTGATTATACAATAAGTCGTTGCATCACTTTCAGTGACAATGACAATAAACGAAAACATAACCTCTCTAGGAAGTTTTGAGTAGTGATTGTTAGTAATAATAACTAGATTTTTAGTAGGTAATTAAAAAACGGTCGTAGGTAAAGTAGTGTACGCAACTCGCGTTAATAGTCTTTACCTACGACCGTTTTTTAAAGTAGCCGTTTCAGTACAGTTCTTAGAATTGAAAAGTATCTCATAACAGCATTGTTTACTTTCATAACAGCAACAGCACAGTTTTACTCATTACAAAACACGGGTAACGGACCAATGAGGTTCAAGGATTGAGAGAGGAGAAGTAAAATTGTAATGATTTGAAATTCAACTAATCAGCTGTTCAGGCCAATTTAATTGTTGATTGGTGCAATTACTGTTTGATACAATATTTCGTTGTATCACTGTCAGTGGAAGTTATGAGTAGTGATACTTAGTAATTAAAACAATGTCGTAGGTAGTGTACGCAACTCGCGTAAATAATGTTAACGACACTCGTAGAAGTTTTTAAGGCACTCGCCAAGGCTCGTACCTTAACATTTTCTACTCGTGTCGTTAACACTAACTTTACGCAATCGTTGCGTAAACTACTATTACGACAAGGCTCGTGCCTTAAATTTTCTCCTCGTGTCGTAAAGACTAACTTAACGCAATCGTTGCGTAAACTTCTAATAAAAAGATCAAACATAGTTGGCATACTTTTGTAAGGGGATTGATTGTCTTTTCAACCGTCCAACCAAGCCATATAGGCCTATGTATCTTAAAGGTGGCCATTCAAAATTTAGTTAATTATTTATTACATTTTGATTTTGTGAAAGGAATCGTTAGGTTATCACTGAAATGTTTTTGTTGGTAGCTGGGCTCGGAATCATGTAAGGTTATCATTTAATTAATTGTGAGATAATGTATGCCATTTATGACAGCTAGATCACAATCACAGAACTTAACTAAGGCTCAACACAGCTTCAGGGGAGGGGTAGGATCAAAGACAAAGAAGTATTTTACTTTTTTTGTCTGCAGCAGAAGAAACATTCCATTCAAACAGGGGCAGGCCTACAGTGTACAATCGTACAATGTACATGCTAAATTGCTTAGTACTGATTTGGTTACATGCAATCGGCAAAGTTTAGTTTGAATTTCACTTTTTAAACTGGTAACCTTTTTTTAAAAGTTAGATTTATTATAAAACTGACAGTACCTATATTAAATTAAAGATTTTGATACATCATTAAAGTGGGTGACTTAATGAACAAAAATAAGAACTTAAAATCCTCATGGCATATAGTTTATTATAACAGGGCTGTCAGGGCTTTACCAAATAATGTTATAACATTGATCTAAAAATCTGCTGGTAAACTGTGTTTATGCCTTTGCCTGGTCAGCCTAAAGGGTGCTAATGATGAAATACTTCTCTTATATTAGAATTAATCTTGTACAATTTAGGCTAGATTATGAGGATATACGTTAGATGCCTGTCCATCCGTAAGTTGAATTAAATTGTGATGATTTAGATTTATGAGTATGGAGAGAGGGATGGCGACATTTAGGCACTCTGGCGATCGGCCTTGATGACAACTCCAACCTTTCTACTCCTCTATAACAAGTTTAAAAACATTATGAAAGATAAAATCTGGAATGTAAATACATTTACTAATGTAATTACATTTACATTTATTGATTGGATTTTAGAAAAATCATGGTTAATTTTGTAGTCTAGTAAATTGGATTATAACATTTTCTTAAAAAAAATATTCTTATTAGATAATAACAGTTGAGTCCCTTAATGTGTATAATTTTAACTGCTCAAAGTGTTAAGCGATCCCTAAAACAAAGCATTAGTTTAGAAGTTGAGTCATGTTTATATGTATTGAAACTCAGGAAGCATTACACTGTAAAAGGTTTTATAAAAAAAATTATAAAATTTCGTTCACAAACATTGTTGATAGTGTAATATGCCATCTATTATAAAATATAAAATATTTTTAAAATAATTTCTTTTATCAAGTTTAACAGGTTGGCATCATTAAACAAAGAGGGACAACGCCTTTTTTTTAAAGATGGACATTGTTTTTTTGTAAATATGGACAATGTCTTTTATAAAGATCTTTTATTAAGCGATTTACAGTGTAATATGGCCCTTGTGTCCCGAGATTATTGTATTACTAGTAATTTGTTCATCCCGCACTTTGATTTTACAGAACACCACTTTGATTTTACGGAGTCAGTCATTGATTATTTCACCACCACAACAAACAAGCTGACTAACTTAAGTGAATTTCTGTTAACATATCAACATTACTTTCTCCCTAATGATTAGTATATGTATAGGGGAGAAAGTAAAAACATAGATTTAGCATACTTCCTAAGGGACTGCACTACCTAATCTATGTTAAGTAGAATGAGCCTTGTGTGGGCATTTAGTTTTTGCAGAATGGTAACACTCCATCAAAAGCTACCCTCGCTCAGGCTCAGCTATCAACATCTTTAATACGCTGCCAAAAAAGTGAGAGAGTTGGACAGTGCGAAGTTCAGGGCAGTACTACACGGTCATCTGGTAAACAGACCCCTCTACTCATTAGAGGAATTAAAGGAAGTGCCATTGAAAGTTAGCTGAAAACAGCACTCCAGTAGGTTAGGAATAAAATCACCACAACCAAATAACAAAAATTATGTTTTTAAGTGTATTTCTGCAAGAAGTTTGTAAATATTAGTTTTAAATAATTTGTAAATAGTATGTCAAAAGGTCGCCGGTTCGATCCTGAGAAAAGTCAGTATAGCTTTTTGATGGTTCGAAACTGGACCCAGCTGTTCCTGATCATTGGGCTTTGAATAAATGATCCTGACTAATGAAACCGCTGATCTTAAGTCAGTAACAAACCTACACAGGTCATCACACACCATTCTACACTCATATTTGGGTTAAAATACGCACCTAGGTGGCGTCCCCATCTCAATGATTGATAATTGATATGCCTCTGACGCAGTCTATCCGACATTGTCGGTCAAGGATTAAGGACACAAAGTATCAAGTAAGTATATAGGTCGATTCACACACATCAGTCCAGTCACAGTCCCGTTACAGTCCAGTTGCAGTCCAGTTACAGTCCAGTCACAGTTGCATCCGCAATTTCTCAGTCAATTGTCCGTCAGTTGGTTTCAGTCAGTCTTCCGTCTCTAATATTTACAGTCAAAAAATTTAAATTTTAAACCTATATTCTATTAAATTATCATTGTCTATCTTGTTGATTGTTACAAACAGTACTCAAAATACAAACGCAACCATTTAAATAACAATAACACTATTTTCTAACCTCAAACAGTTCCGTCAGGCGTCCGAACAATCAAAAAGTATCGGTGGGGCACACGGGAGGGACTAAGGCTAACATATCTTGTAGTGTCAGCGTTCGCCGCTAGGACTGCTAAGTTGAAAAAATTTATATTAATTTTTAATTTTTAATTTTTTGTTATAAAATTAACTTTTTAATTATAAAATATTGTTTTAAAATTATAAAATAAGTTTTTAATTTTTAAAATTAAACTGTCATAACATAACCTAACCAACCAGACTTGCTGATAATATAAAAACTATATAAGATAAAAATCTAAATTATAAAATTAATTTTAAAATTTAGTATTATAAAATTAAACTGTCATAACCTAACCTAACCAACCAAACTTGCTGATATGAAAAATTTGTTGACAAAAAGTTAGTGCTGCCAGCGGGTTTCGAACCCCGGACCTCCTGCATACCAATCCGCAACGCTACCAACTATGCCACGAACGCCGCTGAAAATACACCGTTTCGTTACGGTAATCGTGTCGCCTCAAGAGAAGACATTAACCACTAGAGATATGACGTCACTACACCATTAGCCTTAGTCCCTTCCGTGTGCCCATTCCAAAAAGCATCGTTGGAAAGAAATCTGAAATTGACTGACGGATGCCAGCAGAGTGACTGACGGGACTGCAACGGATGAGTGTAGATAGCGCAATAGAAAATCCATCAAAGAATATTTTTGTTAACTGTGACGTGACTGAAGTGACTTTACTGTGACGTGCCGTAACTGATATGTGTGAATCGACCTTTAGTGTATATGTCGTCAGTGACGTCCGACTCCGATCCGATCCGGATTCTGAATGAATCCGAATAATCCAATCCGACACTCTCTAGTCTCTACCATCGATGTATAATAATTATACATCGAACCATCGATGTATAATAATTATACATCGATCGATGGTCTCTACCTCTACTCCTAGTCTGTAGAACAACTACAGAAACAGAAGACAAGAAGAAGACCATGGACACTGAAGTGAAGAAGAAGACAACTTCGAACTTCTACTTCTACCTCTACCTCAACCTCACCTCTTCTTTCTTCTTTAGCTCTTCCAGCTTCCAGCTTTTTAGATTCTCGTGATCGCGACAATTTGTTTGTTATTTTAATTCTTGCAATTAAATAAAATAACCGAGTCAACACAAGTGAACAAAAGGTTTTAATAATTCTTGTAGTTCAATATTTGATAGAGATTTTCAGTCAATGTTGTTTATTATTGTGTGTGTAGTTGCTATACAAACTTGTGCAATATTTCCAAATTATTGTGGGTTAACTCAACGTGTTAGGTTTGGTTGAATTGATATTTTAACAAGGTGAGTAAAGAAAATGTATCAATTCTAGGTATAAGTTCTATGTCTCGAATAATTTGAGTCTTTAACAGTTTTCATCGATGGCTTCCTCATAGTTAGATATTGTGAGGCCATAACAAATCATAGCCTAGGTCAAAATTTCACATAGGTAGGCCTATTACCTTATTACCTTCTTCTTCAGCAAGACCAGCTATGCCGAATATGTTGTGTCATTAGGATTAATAAAATTAAAGGCTGCACTTTACTTAAGGTCACACTCATTCGAATGAAAATGCCATTTATTCTATTCAAACAACCAATATACCTACAACAACAAACAAACAACCGAACACCACACTACAACTATCGATATATCGATCGATATTTTCATTCGAATGAGTGTAGGACCTAAAGTAAAGTGCAGCCGTGGTCGTCAAAAATATTGGCCTTTTCATTCATCCTCAAAGTAGGTACTCTGTCAGTGAGTATGTTATGGCCTCTTTAATAAATAATCCTTGAGTAAAATCTTGAATTTTTCTATTCCTGTAATATTTTTTATTTCCTTTGGGATCTTGTTGTAAATCTTGGAGCACAAAAATTTAGGGCCATTTGCTACTAAAGTTAAGTTTACCTGGGTTATGTGGACATGTTGACATTGCCTTGTGTTATGTAACTTAATTGTGGAATGCTGCATTTTTTTTAGGAAAAGTGGGGTTTTCTTTAGGCCTACACTCAGTGCTGAATCCAGGATAAAAAGTAAAAAGTGCTGTCATGGTATTAACCTTGGCCTAACTTAAGTTTATTAATTATTTCATGAAACATAAATAGCTTAGGCCTATAGGCTATGTTTAACGTTCTATGAGCTTTTCTAGTCACCAAATTTTGGAGTTAATTTTTGGCAGAGGATGAATGCGTTCGTTAACCGGACATGGATTAGGCGTCCGGCAGCTACTGTCATAACCTAACTATCCAAACTTGCTGATAGGCCTAGTAAAAAAATCAAGTGACGGTTAAATTCTGTTTATCTTAAAATTACAAATCCCTCAAATTCTAACAAAAGATAAAAAAATGGGATTTAAATGGTTAAGAAGAAATTTGACATTCTAAGCAAAATCTTTGACAAAAAGTCAGTGTCTCCGAAGGGATTCGATCTAGATACCTCTTAGGCCTATAGGATCAGCCAAGTAGCCTACTCTGTCCATTACACCACAAACACCGACTGGCTGTACTATTGTGGTAATGGTGTTCCGGGCCCCCACAACACGGTGACGTCACTGCCAGACGGCTAATCAGGTTCGGTTACCGTACCGTACGCGTATCCTCTGTGTTAATTTTTTCATAAACATCTCAATGGTAAGTTAATAAGTGTCCTGTTTTTTAGAATTTTGTAAATTAGACCCAGCATCCACGTTAAAGTACATACCAGGCAAAGTTTTCAGTTTATTTTTATTGGAGTTCTAGGCCTATGATCATATAAATAATTGTCAAGAAAGGTAGTGTGTTTAAATGTTATTTTACCAAGGGGCACAGTTCCGCAGATATAGTTAGGCCTACGGTACAGTATGTACAGTATCTATGATTTCTGTTTTGTTTTAAACTCATTCTGTTAAAATATTTATATTATATTTTAAAGTACAGGTTAACCCTCGAAGTGTTAACACCCGCTGTGGTGTTATGCGTCGCTTTTGCGACTCACAAACATTATTTACGGCGAAGGCTCTGGGATTGACTGTACTGAATCAGATTGAACTAGATTGAGATTGGTATCGTTGTTTTCGGCAGATTCTAAGCTTTCTCCTGATGTCTGTTTCTAGACACTTTTCATTTTAGTTGCCTTCCTATCATAATGTAGCAGACATATGACGTGCGTAGGCCTATTTGTAAACAACTTTGGTTAACCTCACATCGATGACTGTGCCCTTACCTAATCATCTGATATGTCAGCCTTTGAGTAAAAGGGTTAAGTTAAATTCAAAGATAAAATAAACTGTTAATTTAATATTTTTGGTTCCAGGTCTTTCCCCATATTTAGATATTGTTGGCATAAACATATTCTAAGGTGTAAAAATGAATCATGAGGAATCCCTTGATTTTGAAGAAATAATGATGAAAGAAGAATTAACAATTAAAGAAGAATTAACAATTAATGAGGAATTTTATTCTGAAGAAATAACAGAGGGACAAAATTGTGAAGGATTGCCATTGAAAGACACCGGTCCCAGATGTGAAGGGAATTTATGTTCTGAAAACCAAGAATATTCTGCTGATGTGGGAAACATTTCAACCAAGAATGAGGACATGGGATTGGAAGAAACTGCGAAGGATGACTCTATATGTATCGAACCTACTGTAAAGGAAGAAAATGTTATCTCTGAAATGGAAACTGAAGATATCCAATCTGGAACAGAACCTCCACAAAGCAATTTTGAATCGGAAATATTGAGAAATAGATTGTTAGAAAAGTCAAACAATGAAATAAATATTTCATCTTCAAGTTCTGGTATTACCGAATGTATCGATAATGAAGGTGAAGAATCTCATCTTAACAGCAGTGAAGAACAAATGGTCTCACATCAAAAATTTAAAGTCAACATGTCAACCATTGAATCGGTTTCAAAGGAACACCAGGTAAATACTAGCGTTTATTACATTATATAATAATCTTTCATATTAAGTGGAAGAGTTTTTTTAATCGCAGATTCTGAATCAACCACTTGACAGATTTTCATGATTCTTCTGTTGATAGAAAAATAATTTTCATTGGAAGGGAATGTCAAATCCATAATTTTGATTTGGAGTTTGAGTTTTTCATAAATCTAATTTTAATTTTGAAAAAAGTCTGCATCAAGAGCAAACATTTTAAGTTTGTTTGGTTGCAATATAATTTAAGTTAACCAAAAGCTTGGTTTTCTTTAGCTACAAACTGTCACTGAAATGCTTCCTTTTAAAAGTTATTTACAGTAGGCCTAGCCGTTATTGATTGTTGGTGCTTATATTTTTTATGTTCATACTAAATGTTCATTAAATTGTGTGTAATTTTGAACTAAATCTTAAAATGTTTAATTTAATTAAGTTAGGTATGTCGTAAATTAATTTTGTGTGAATATAAGTTTATGGGACAAAAACTTTTTCGGGACAATCAATGTCCTCGTTTAAGAAATTAATTGAATCTGGTTTCAACTAACATTTGTTTTTAATCGAAAAAAGGCAGAATACCTGTTCATTGTAACCGGGTATCTTATTTTGAGTAAATAGTTTTTTATATATGTATAATAAATATAACTTCCGGAATTTTAGTGCCGGTCGTACGTCCCCAATACGGTCTCAATCCACTCAAAAAATCTGCTTGTCATAATTTGATGTTAAACAATAAACAATACCGGTACCTAGTTGCTTTTGCTTATTATTTATCAAAACAACATATCCTAACACTATACTTGGGAATAACGAATAGAATTTCTAACGAATAGCGCTATTCGTTAGTTTTTTCTGCTAACTTCTATTTTATTTGTTAGTTTTTAAAAAGTGCTGGAAATAACTTGTAGGCTACTCAGTTAGTTTTATAAGTAACGAATAGATAATCCTAAATTCATTAGTTTTAAATTGTTAGTATTTTGGTCAGGCGAAAGTATTTCAAATACCGGTTATTTATTTTACGTGTTCAGTGAGGGTTGCATGTGTACGTGAGAGATCAGCGCCCTTGTTGACAAACAACGCGCTGAAAAAAACGCGCTGGTGGGGAAAGAGGAAGTCAAAGTCCAGTTGCTTTGGTACGCAGCGGACCCGGGGGGCGAGACAATGGAGGCCAATAACAACACCCCAAGCACCGAAGGGTGGGAAGGGGGAATGTTTGTTTGGCGATTGATATGTAATCTCAAGTGTCAAAACATTGTCTTCACTTCAGTCTATGTTCATTCTGACAGTGACAGGTTTTAATTCATTTGTTTCCGCCCAAGTGAGTCTTAGTTGTCTTGTTTTTATATATATTTTAGTGATAGTTAAATAGTTATAAGGTGAACAGTTTCTATTAAGTACAGTAGATTAAAAATATTTGTTTGCAATGGCGGGCGAGTGTGATATCCAGTGGCCAAACTTAAGTGATATATTTCAACAAGTTGGAAGAAATGTAAAGGGTGGAATCTCGTTGAAATGTTTATTGTGTTTACCCAAAACAAAAATAATTAAAGCATCAGTCACAAGTGTTTTGAATTTGAGAGCGCATATTAAGGTAAGTGGAGAAAAATATGATGGTCTTGTTTTTAACTTAAAGTGGCCTTATATATTTAAGTTATATAGGCCAATTTTTTAAAATGTGATTATAATTTTTATCTTTTTAGTAAAGTTATAATAATATTTTTTTCAATAGTGTTTCCAACACCACCCAGGAGTATGTGTGTATGCTCTTTTAAACAATAGGCCCCTATCTCACCACGAATTGGGTCACTTTTAAAGCTAGTAGTAAACGATACTTTTATCACACTAAGAAAACTATTTCCAGATTTTAAAAAAATATGTGATATTTTCAATTTTGTAATCCATTCTTTTTTCTGAGCTAAACACAATATGGCTGTACAATTAATTTTAGTGTAACATTCAGCTAATTGAACATCAACAAACTGTGTTTAGAGCTAACCGGGAACTTTAGTTGTAACTTATGTTTGTGTATCGAAAGTAATGTCTATGTCAGGAAAGGTCAGATGATCACTATTTGTTTTTGGTGTATGGAAATTGACGGTTTTCGGAGATCTCAGCTGTATGAAAATGGGTTATTTTCGAAATGACAAGTTTTATGTATCACCTTTAATAATTTTATTAGCAAAAGTATTTATTAATCTTAAACTTAACTCTAAATCCTAGAAAACCGTACCGTCAAATAACATGTTGCAATTTGTGGAATTTTTCAAGATTTGTTTAAATTGACTATAAAGTCAGATTTGATCAATTTTATGCTGCAATTGACCATATTTTGCTCCCATTTTAGGGTTTAAATAAGATCATTGTTATGAAAACATACTGTACTGTACTTAAACTTGTTGACTGTTGGTGTTAAATATTTAAATTGTTTTGTAGACGACACATCCTTCTAAGATTTTTTATTTCAATGAAAAAGTAGAAAAAAAGGGGCGCAAACGAAAAAACAACTCTACTGATATTACCGAGCCTGTGCTAAAATCAAAATGTGCAAAACAGACACTTTTGGGAGACAACATTCCAAAGACAACTGAAGATCAAAATAAAGCTGTGCTCAGGTTTATTGTTGGCACTGGTTGCCCACTTTCGATTGTTGAGCACGAAGATTTTTTAAATCTCATACAAACATGTGGTGGAAAAAATCCTCCTAATAGGAAGAATCTTATGGATATGTTGGATAAATCATTCATCCAAATGAAAAATGAATTGCTGAGCTCCTTAAGTGAAGTTTCGACAGTTTGTGCTACTACCGACTGCTGGTCAGTCTTTAGAAGGTAAATGTTACTACAGTTGACCCTATATAAGTCAAATTTCAAGGGATACGGGAAAAATTCGTACTATGGAGGTATTCTTAATAAAGAGGGTTGTTTTATCGTGGTTTAATGCTGCTGTTATTCTTCTTATAGAGGTTTCTCCTCGCTCCAAGGTTTCTCCAAACAATTACTGAGGAAGGAGGAGGGATGGGTGAGGGTTTCATGTTGAGACAAGCTTCTGTTTGTTTTGAAAACTACGTACTAGGGAGGTTAAGATTATGATAAATTTGTCTTATAGAGGTCACGTTTGTCTTGTAGAGGTTTTGTCCTAAGAATATTCTTTGTATGGAGGTTAATCAGTCCTAGCCCATGTCAAAAACAAATTCATCTTATGGAGGTTTTTAACTTAATTACTACGTTGTATAGAGGTGTTTTTAGCATTGACCTATATGAAAGTGTCAAGGGGATTAAAAAAAATTTGTCTTATCGAGGAACTCGTTTTATTGAGGTTCGTACAAACGAGGTTTAACTGTATTATTACTCTATCTGGTTTTATTACTTACTCTTACTCTCAGGGCCATGCATATCTAAGAAGATATTTGGCCGCACCAACAAAGCCTCTCCATCTTGCTCTATCCTCTGCATCCTCCTCAGTTGCTCCTAGTTGCTCCATGTCTTTCTTTACTTGGCTCCACCATTTTTGTTTTGGCCTTCTTCTCGGTCGTCTTCCTTCGGGATTTCTTAGTAAAACTAATTTTAACTTATTTTGCTCCTCTCTTTGTAAAACATGTCCAGCCCATCTAACTCTTCTACACTTAAATTCACACACCACATCTGGATCTCTGTAGAGTTCTCTCAGTTCTCTGTTGTGTCTCTTCCTCCATTCACCACCCTCATAAATGGGTCCATAGATTTTTCTTAAAATCTTATTTTCGAATGTGATTAACTTCTTTTCTTCTTTTTTATTTGGTTTCCATGTTTCAGGTCCGTATAATAATACTGGGCTGATTATTGTCTTATAAATTCTAACTTTGGTGTTTTTTGACAGTAACTTGGAGGACATCAGTCTGTTGCAAGCGTGCCAGATTTAGTCTATTTTGAATTTCTATTTCTTCTTTGTTTTCCCTGGATAAGATAACCCCTAAGTACTTAAAATATTCTACTTTTTCAAATTTATGGTCATCTACCTGCAGTGGGTCTTGGGCTATACCTTGATTTCTTGAAAATTGCATATATTTGGTTTTCCCACCATTTACTTTTAGTCCTAATTGTCCTGTTTTGTCCATAAATACTTTTGTTAGTTGGCGTAGGTCCTCTAAAGTTTCTGCAAAAATGACGACATCGTCTGCAAACGCTAATATGTTAATTCTGGAGCCAATTGAAATTCCCTTATCTATTGTTGCCACTTCTTGTAGAGTTTCTTCTATTGCTAGGTTGAAGAGGATTGGGGAGAGCCCATCCCCTTGCCTTACCCCTGCATTTACTGTAAAGGGCTCCGAGACTCTCCCATTTACTTTTACTGAACATGTGGAATTTGCTACAGTTGTTCTAGCAAGGTTTATAAGATTGGTTGGGATTCCAAATTTGTCCATCTTTTTCCACAGTTTCTCTCTATTTATGCTATCATACGCTTTTTGGAAATCAATAAATATTGCAAAAAACTCCCTATTAAACTCCCAATACTTCGATATGACTTCTTTAAGGATAAATATTTGATTCATTGTGGACGTGCCTTCATGAAACCAGCCTGATGATCTAGGATTAGTTCATTTGTATATTCTTCGATCCGATTTAATACTATCTTTGATAAAACATTGTACGGTATGCTAAGGAGTGATATGCCTCTAAAATTACTTCATTCTTCTTCCTCTCCTTTCTTGTGAATGGGGACTACTATTGCTTCCCTCCATTCTTATGGAATTTCTTCTCTCTCCCAGATTATTTTAATCAGTTCCCAAAGCTTTCCTATTACTACTCCCCCTCCCTTCTTCAGTATTTCTGCTGTTATCCCATCTCTGCCCGGGGCTTTATTGCTCTTTAGAGCTTTGACTGCTGCTTCGACTTCTTCTCTGGTTGGTGTCTCAACCTTTGGTTGAACGTGATAGTATACGTCATCGTTATCTTCTTCTGGTGCAAAGTCCACACCATCTACATTTAGTAAGTCGCAGAAATATTCTCTCCATC